TGGGGGCTCAGGAGCCATGGCCTGACTGGGGAGGCAGTATTTGTCCCTGCAGCTCTCCTGCTTCCCTTTGCTTCCTGGGGAAGCATGGTATTTCACCACAGACTACACTAAGCAAAGGTGTGGAAAGGAAATAAGGAATAAGGCCTTAATGCTCCATGGGTGGAAGTACGTAACTACTTTTTGATAAGTGGGATGTTGAGTTGCAAGAATTGAAATAGATCCTCCTGCCACTTTTTCTTAAAAAAAAAAAAATGCCTTCCGTAACCCCAGTTCCCTGAAGTGATGTGGCAGGGGAGAGTAAGCAAACCTTTGCTTGTGAATTTGCCAAAAATAAAGAGGATTTGAGAGATCTGGTCCCACAGGCAAGCTCATTATTGCATTAATCTAGGATCATGCAGTGTAGCTCCACTGATATCCACAGCCAGAATTAGGGCATTTCCCCTTCCCTTTGCTTCTGGTTCTTGACTTGGACCTCTCAGCATTAAGTGAAAAGAACAGTGCATACTTATGCTAGGAGCTTTATTTTCTTTTTAAATAGCCAGCCTGTCATGTTTGTCCAAAGCTGTTTAGTATGAAATGAAACTATAGTTAGTATCACATATAAAGGGGCAGTAGTGGAAATAACACAAAGAGGAGGTGAGATTTCTTCCATGCAACTGTACAACTTCCTGGAGAGCCAGGCATGTTGCTGGTGAGTGCTGCTGATAGACCCTTATGTTGTATCCCTACAGAAGCTCTGCTCAAAACGGGGAGACTCAGAGAAGAGGGGTCAATAGCTGCCAGATGTTATCTACATTGCATAAAATCCAACATTTGTGCTTCTGTGCTGTGGTAAGTTGGTCCTTTCATACTGAAGTAGAAGGTATATATATTTTTTTAATTGATGGTACTGCATCATTTCTTCAAAGAATTGTGGAATTATCAGAAATTGAGGAAAAAGAAATCAACAATCTAATTTCTTATGCCATGCTTACCACTATAAACACATCTTCCCAGAAGTGATTATAACCAGAATATTGATTAAATTGCTTGCTTAAGCATAATCTTATCATACCCCCACAGAAATAAGATATGGGAAGGAAAGAATTGGTTGAATTTGTTGAATTAAAAACAGTTTATCATTGACTAATAGCATTTCTAGTTGCTAAAAGTGAAAATGGCTAAATTCTGCATGCTCAGTTTCCAACTAAGCTTGTATACAAGAGCTGGTTAGAAATGAAGGCTTGCTATGGTTGGCTTCTTGCACATTAAAACTGGATCTGTGCAAGAGTGAAGGTTCTAGTCTAGTCTGGGGGCACTTTGCACAGGAATATGTGCTGGTTTTTTTTGTGGAATTTCAGGAATGAGGTGTATAAGGGACCACAACAGAGAAAGTGATAGCAGGAACTATACAGGACTTTCCCCTTCCTGAGAACTTGTTGACTTGTATGCAGGAGTTGAAGGATTCAGGGACTGATTCCAGAGTATAAATATTCCCACTAATAACAAATGGCTTGGGCAGTCTGAAAGTGGGCCTAAGCTGTAGCAGGAGATGGCAAATGCAGGCAGCACACACAGCTGGACCTCTCTACTTGTTAGCCTGTTTGACGTTCAAGTTTCATACTGGTCCTGCACTGAGTTCTGAAGTGGAGATACCAGCACTGAGATACCACTATATTCAGAGCAAATGGAGATTACATATGGTAACATGGTGTATTTAGAGGTGGGAATTACCTCTTGGGCAAATGAGGACTCATCAGTGAATTTTACAGTAAAATTAAACAGAACTTGAAGCTAAAATCCAAAGCAAAGTACCTTGCTGGGTAAAGCCACGGGTGAAAACTCTGCTTGTCCTCAACAGAAGCCAGCTATACTCCAGACGAAGGGTATTGTTTTATCTGTGATGAGACGAAAGCTGTGTTTGGCATTTTACAAGAAAAGTTCTGCCCAGGTCTACGTAAGTCTTTCCCTGGACGCTGAATGAAGTCAATTATTATAAAGTAAATGTCTATTCTAGGAGAGAATTAAATCCTAACATCCTGATGAAAGCATGTTAACCAGGAGATAAATGTTCAGATTCAACAGTAGTTGGTTCTGTGCTGCTGTTACCTTGCACAGTGGGCTACAGGGCCATAAGTAAGAATCTGAATGTGTTTTGTGAGAAAGATGCATGGAGGGCTGCTTTGCACTGCTGGATGTGTTGGGGGGGTCAGAGCTAGGGGCTAGTGCCAATACTCTTCCCTGGGACCATTCTGTGCAAGTTCTTTCTCTGGGCAGGAAGCTTGCACTGTGAGGGCTGCAAGCACTGTGCTGACAGCTTTAGGCCAAGTGGTCTGAAGACTGAATGGAATAAAGCACACAGGCCTACAAAATGGTGACTTCACACTCAGAATTTTACTACTTTGGGGCTCGCTAATGTCTATGGCTAAACTAGCAAAAAAAAAAAAAAGCCTGATGAACCAACTCCACATGTTGCTCTCAGATTAATAGCTCCTGATGTGGTGGTAAGTTGTCCTCACCTGCTTACCATCTCACACAGAAGGGAAAGGAAGAGCAACACCTGCTAAAGGTTGCTCACCTAAAGCCTGCTGCTACAAAGATTCCTTTGTGCTCCTCCCATCCTTTTACACGATATTTCTGGAATGATGCAGTTACTTATGTCTTCATATGGTTTCCTAAGGGAGGGGTATGGGCAAAGAGAGGCACTGAGGGTGACAATGGGCACTTAGTGTATAATTTGGAAGGAGAAATTTAAAATGCATTGCAATACAGCAGTGCTTTGGTTGAGCAGCTTGCTAAGCAGGTAACACTGGGCTGGGCTGTGTTCAGGTGCTTGGCTGGGGCAGGCATGTTCATTCCTAGAGCTTCTCTTTCTGATTTACAGATAGTGTGTAACCATGGTGTTTCCTAAATAACAGGTCCCATTCCAGAATCCTGAGTGACTCCCTTGGTACTGCTATCAGTTTTACTTCTCCAACATAAATTAAGGATTTGCTTTAGTTTTAGGTAAGCACAGTGAAAATCTCAATCCCTGAAATGAATGTATAATGAAAAATAGCACATTTGAGTGTCCTTGCATGCAGGTGTTTATTCTGACTGTTGCCTAATTAATGTCCTGCTTTAAAAGCAGTTCTGTATAGATACCAAATAAAAAGATGAAAAAAATATAGCCACCTTTTTTACTCAACCTAAAGATGTGTAAGAAAAACATGGCAACAGAAATCTAACAATATGCTAGGGGCTTGGTATATAATCTCACCTGTCCCCAAGGAAGTATCCCAACTGTTGGGAAAACTGACAATTGATAATATTATTAAATTGCTTATTTATAAAGTCAGTGCAAGTGGTAAGAATGAGTTGTTTTTATGGAATTTTTGGTGTTCCTGGAATAATTCTGCAAGCGAAGTTCTCACAGTAAGAGAAACAGTGTGACTGACACTGCAGAATGGTATAGGGAAAAGTATGCCCCACACAAAAATCTAGCAGTTGGCAAATGGGGGAGTGGGTGATGGAGGGCAAAGGCAGGATGACAGTGGCAGACTCTTAGTAAACACATCAGCTAGGGTGAAGGCTATTCAGCACTTTTTTTTTTACTGACCCTCTATTCTTTTAGGTTCAAGATGCTGCAAACAGTTAGTTGAACAAAGTCCAGGACTGATGTAAAAAGATGACATTTTTTGACAATGCAGGGACCAAAGCTGTATATTTAGTTGGTATGAACATTTTAAAAGTCTTGGGAGAACATAATTACGGGATCACCCAAGATTAAATTAGTTCTGATAAATTATTTAAACATCTAATCAACAAATGATGTAGTATAGGAGTACAAGTCCCAGGGGCTGTGACATAATTTGTGAACAGAGTAACCCTTCACTGTGTCCAGAGTGAATATTTGACAATACAGTTGTCAATCCTTCCACTTCTCTCCCTGTTAATAATATTGGCAGATTGTAGAAGTCCTTATAAGAAGCACTGCACAGAGGGAGGATGTACCTACATAAGACTCTGTTCCCTCCCTGTTTAGTGCAGCAGATGAGAAAGGGGAGAGAAACAGAAAAGTTAGTTACATTCTTTTCAGACTATTTTCCATCTTGATTAACTTCAAAATAGAATGATAGGCTAAGTTTAGTTAAGGGTCCTGGCTGCAGTAGTTAGAATAGATGCTAAAGTCAGCTTAGCTGCAGTGTTGCTTGAACTGGAGGAACACTTTGCTCTGTTGTCTGAGTGCTGGATACTGGCACGTAGACTGGCTGTAACTTTGCTATGTATGTTTTCCCCTCTAGCTTCAGAGAAAACAGCAAAACAAACTTCCCTGTAGCCTTTTGGGGAAATTATACATGTGGAAAAATGATCACCTGTGGTCATAGCTGAAGTAGCCAGGGTGATGCTGTAGAGAAGGCAGGTTGACAGTGCCTTTTTTCCCCAAGCATTACTTCACACAAGGGTAATGAAAGGATGAATAGCCTGTGCTTGGTTCACCAGTTTAAGACCTGGGATACTTTAATAATCACTCACTAGCTACTCTGAATATCACCAGATTTCAAAGGCTCTTCTCAGAGCAAAATAAATTTCAACTTTCTTCAGTTAGCAAGGCATATAGTATTGTAGTAATGTTTATTTGGCTTTCCTCTCTCATGCCAATTTCTGAATGGAAAAAGTTTCTCTGAACAAGTGCCACCTTTTAATTTATGTTTTGTTATCTAGGTCTTGCTTGCCTGGTTTGATGGTTCCATTTGTAGCTAATTACAAGTGTGGATGTTTACCTAGAGTTTGATGTGGCTCCCGCTGTTGTAAATTTTAATTTAAATGAAGGTTACTGAAATGTATTTTGACTTTAGGTACCAGCCTGATTTACTGGCAGATTCTGGGGTCATCCCATACCCCCCGGACACATTCATGCTTCACCTCCTCTGCTAGTATGAGTGAGGAACACACAGTCTCAAGTGGATAGGGGAAATATATCAACAAGCTCGTTGTTTCTTAATTTATCACCAACAAATAGGCAGTTAATGAACCTCAAATACCTCTTTGCTATATATCCTGGCTGTCTTCTCCCCTTTGCAACAGAGCACAGCTAGTTTAAATGATGATATCGTACACACGGCCCACTCTTCCCAGCCATTCCCGTACCGCCTGACGAACACGGATATCAGTCACATGGCAAGTCAGCTGGCTGATGCATGGGAACACTGCTGGCTGGAGGGCTGTGAAAGTTTGGTCTGGTAGGGCCTGAATCTGGTTGAGAACTGTCAGCACCATGTTCGTCCATGCCTACAAACAAATTGGATACAAAAAAAAAAAAAGACTCTTTAGAATACCTTTCTATATAGAGAAGTCTCTTAGATTAGACAGAAAAGGCATCTTATCGCTGCAGCTTCATGAAGAGGCCTCAGCAATACCAGCATATTAATTTACTGTTGACTGTCTGCACAATTCAGTACTGTATGCTGCTTTTTGACTTTGTATTTCATGAATCATGATCATTCTTCATCACCTATTATTTCATCCCATAGTGAACAAAGATTTAACCCTTTTACTGATTTGCTTACTCAGATGTGCAAATAAGTTCCTATTTAGCAACAGAGCCCAGTATTTCTGCTTTGGAATTAACAAAAAGCTTATTAAATAAAAAAGCATTACAAGTACCTTCACATTTTCAAAAGCCCTAAGTAGGCTGGAGCCCATAGCAGTAAGCAGAGTTCATTGTTGGCTGTTTTTAGGAAAGTGCAGTTTTGGCCACAGTCATAGAAAAACTCATGGAAGCTGTACTGGTATATACCTGATAAAACCTCCCCAGAAGACTGATTTTCTTTTGATGGAACAGAACAAGGTTTTTACCAGTGCTAGCTGCTGAAATATTCAGTCCTTATCATGATGATTTCTTTAGGTAAGGAAGACATCTTATGAAGAGACTACTATTATTGTGATAAAAGCAACAGAAAAATATTTTAGGTATATTTTAAATTATTGCCATTATTAGCATTTTTTAAGTGTCCTACCTGTATCTGGGCCTCTGCATCCCTAACAGATATATTCAGGGAGCTGACTGTGGATCCTGAGCGTGGTCTCTTCTCTTGTCTTAGAATCTCTGGGCCAGCACTGAATGAATGCCTCATTTGACCTTGGTCTATAAGATGTTGTGGCCTCTGGAGTATGGGTGAGTCCTGCCCTCTGGAGCCCAGGAGCTCCCCTTTCTTTTCCACTTTGACCTCTTTGGTGAAGGATGTCATGGTCTGCTGCTGCTGCTTTCTTTTTTTGTATTCTGTCATGAACTTAGAGATGGTTTTGTCAGTGGCTATGGTGTAGATCTTGTTACCAGCATTCTCCCACCATTCTTTTTTCCTGTTTTGTTCTTTTTTCTCTGGTTTAGGACTTGAGAGTGGGGGTAGTAGCAGCATTTCTCCACTTCGTGGTGTTAGGCTGTCTCCCACTTGGTCCCTTATTTGACTCCGGTCATCTTCTGATGGAGTGTCCTTCCCAGACTGCCCTCCAGTTGATGGGGTGGAGGTTTCTGAATGAAAGGATGGTAAAATGAAGAACGGGTCACCTTTGAACACTGGAGGCTCCTCTACGTTATTCTCCAGGTCTAGGTGCATCTGGATGTAGTTGTTGCACAGTTCCATGCAGAGCTTATGAAGCCGCTTGATCAGCCATCCCCAGTCTGCATTGCTGACAGGCTGTACACTCAGAGATGGTATTCGAGCCCTCCACTGTCTCTTCTCTTTTCCCCGAGGAGGACTGACCTGGGCAGTTTCTTCAAAAATGTCTTCATCTTCTGAAGAGCACTGTTGTGATGAGTCAGTGCTTCTCTCATCGTCCTCGAAGAGGATCTTCTTCACTTGCTCTGCAGTGATGTTCTCCTGGTTTGTCAGGATAGCACAGATCAAAGCATGGAAGTAAATGTTGAAGCTCATTGCTGACTGGCGATACAGGTTGGCAGCTCCACTAATGCCAGACACTTTTTTTAGCAAGCACTTCAACCCAGGCCTGGTGTCAAACTCTCTGGCTGTTCTATAGGAGTCCAGCAGTAAGTCAAAGATGACAGCCAAGTTTTGCATGGAGATGTACCTGAGAAAACCAGCCAACTTGTTTTCTGGTACTTGTATTGTCATTTTCTCCTCTAAGTTAGAAGGGCCTTTAACAAATTCTTCCAGTAAGATGTCATATAAATTCTGGAGCAGTACTTGGTGTGACAGCAAGCTCACCACTATTGTCCTAAAAGGAATACTTGGTAAACCAAGTATAGGAAGGAAAAAAAAAAACATAATTGTATGTTATATTTTTACTAGAAGTATGGGAGTATTTCATGTTTTAGAATCTAACATGAAAGATGTGTGTTAAAGGCCAAAATCTTAGAGCCTTGTTACAATGAATTGAACGAAGGTGAAGTTATCAAGAATGGTCTTTCAGCCTTCCTGGAAGGGATGATGCTTCCATGCATTAAATAAAATAACTGACCATAGCAAAAGCATTAATGGAACTTTGCAGAGGCAGTATTAAAAAAAGCTCTATTATATATTTTATACATAGATATATAAAATACTATAGCTACAGATACCCTTAATATTTTCAGACTGCTATAATTAAGGAATTTTTTAACACAAATTATGCAGCACTTTTGCCCTTGGGCCCTGAGAACATTTTCTATTTTGTTACTGAACTGAAAGCTAAGAATTGTTCTTAAAACTGCTCTGCTGGCATTTCAGCAAACCTTAACTTTGCCATGACAGATTGAGGCGTAAGCTAGTTTGCCATTTGCTTTCCATTTCCAATAACGTCAGTGGTATATCTCAAAAATAAAATGCAGAGAACCAACCAATAAAAAAAAAAAATCTTCAAAATCATCAGCAGTGCAATGGAACATGCAAAGAAGCTTAAGTCCTGGTGAATGTTTGCACTTACTTAAGATTTCAATTTGAATATTGAGGTCCTAGCCCTGTTTCTTAAATGCAATACGGGGTGATTCTCTCCTGCTGGATATTGTGAGCTGTTCTAGATCTCACTTATTTTATTTGCTCAGGGAACATATGAATGGCAGTCTCTCTCATACAAAGTTTTCAGGTAATTCACAAATAATGTTGGCAGGCTTACAGGCAGGGGAGGTTAAGAAGAAGGGGTGGATTATAGTTAAAGCAAAACATTGGCAGCTTGCAAGTTAAAAATTATAAACTGTGAAGCCCAACTTAAATTAGTAATTGTAAACAAGTCTGCATCAGATTAAAGCTGTGATATTTCAAATAGAGTTGATGCGTTGTACGTATTTGTTTAGATTTAGGAAACTGTGAGGGATCACAGTTTAAGTAAGCAGCATTATTACCAGGTGAGGAAAAGACTTTTCACTTTGTAAGATGCTCAATTTGAGACCTCTAAAAATCTTTTTCCTTATGTTAATTGATTGGTAAAGCCAAACAAATGGTCCTGATGTTAAAAAAAAAAACAAAAAAAAAACCACCCCAAACTAAAAAAGACAGTCCTGGGACTTTTGAGGGCCTGACATATATAGAAGCTATGGGTCAGAAAGAACAGTGCTTCTAGGTTTAGCTTATGTATGTCAGCTCGCCTACTTACTATAGCTGTAGCTGTCAGTGCTGATATGGTGGTTAAAATTAAGTCATTATCTGACAGCAGTACAATCTTGATGATTAATACATACACTGGAGCTCCTTGTGGGGAAGTAGTTTTCTGCTGTAAAAAAATCATTAAAGGCTCTGACTCAGAAAAGCTCTTAAGAGTGCATATAGAATTAAATGTGTACTTGATTTCGAGAGACTAACCCCATTCCAAAAGCAGGAGCAGTATGAAGGAGATCTGTTTTTTTTTTAATAACAGCCATTAAGGCAACTTACTTACAAGGAAAATTTAAGTACTACTCAATTAAAAAAATTATCAACAAAACAACAACAACAAAAACCAAAAAACTAGAACAGAACTATAGGTGCAAACATGATGCCAAAGCTGGTTAAGGACACTATTTGCTTATTCTGACTACTTTTTAGGAGGAAAAGCTCCCTTACCCCAGCTTCCTGTGAAACGATGCAGCATCGGGGAAACAAAAGCAAAAGGGAAAAGAGAAAACTCCACTAAGGTTAAAGTAAAACTTCAAAGGCCACAGTTAACTAGCGTGCAAGACTGGCATATTACTGTGCTGCTAGCAAGTAATATGAAAAGCGGTGACACAGTCAACTTTTCAGCCTTGTTTTGGCAAAGAATGAGTATTGCTGGGTAATATTTCCCCATTAGGGAATATGCATTTGCAGTCAGACAAAGAGCAGTATGAGATCATTCAGAGTTTGTATTAATTGCAAGCTGTATTTATTTAAAGACTAACTTCTTGCTTGCATGGTCCTTCCTTCTGACCAACCACAGAAGGGCCATCACATTCTGACTCCTGGTTACATGCAATAGTTCAGTTTTGAATGAGAATGCCTGAAGTGGTCCAGAAGCAGGTTTGGTATCTGGTATGAGACTGTTTAATATAATGTATTAAAAACCTTGCAATATAAACACAAACCCTGAATGCAGCACTAATTCTTGGCCCTGTGATACCATCGTGGTTGTTCAAACAACCAAGTGCAAGCGAAGAGAAATTTTCTTTAGCAGGATAAGACTAAGAGTCATGCAGACACATGGTTTTCTGAGGTGGTAAAATATAAAAGGTTTTCTTTAAAAATAAAAAATGCCAAGCAAAAACAAAAGTTGCCTAGATTAGTATGTTGACAGCTTTACAGATTTTCATGTAGCCTCTTTATACTGCTCCAGATTACCCATTAACCTATTTCAACCTTCTTAATCCAATAATACTGAATTTAAAAGACCAGTAAGTGTAGCAGAAATTATTTCGTTTGCTAGGTATCATTACAAATATAAAAGCACTTTGAAAGCCTTCTTCAAACTGGTATTTTTACACCTCTGAGAAAAAACATCTCAGTGTGAGAAAGGTTTTCCTAATATTTCCCATGAGAATTCTTTTCCATCTACTTTCCTTTAAAGCTTGTGTCACCTCCTTCAGGTATTTGCAACCTACCAAGTCTTACTATCTATTAGAAACCTTTTTTTTTTTAAGAGACCTGTAAAAAGGCACAGCCTTTTTCCTATCTCTGCCAGCCTGACAATAATTTTGCCTTGTTTTTAACAACATAATGTTCTCCTGAGAAGATATTTTACCTTCTCTGGGTATGCCCATTTGGTTTCTTATCTGGGGGCAGGTCAATGACGAGCACACACGACTGGGCATGTTCAAACCCCTCCTTGTTGCTAGGGGTCTTTGGGGAGCACTGAGTCTCCAGCATGAAGACCTAGAAAATGACAAATTACATAAAACAATTAGGTTTAGCATGTCTAATGGGTCCATGGAGGGCCTGACAGCAGAACTTCATTGTGAAAGATCTATGACAACTTTTTTTTTTAAAGTGATGAAAGGAAGCTACTACCTCTAAGTACCATGTATAGCAAAGACCTGCTTACACAGTTAGCCCATTCCTCCTAGAAAGGTTTGTTACTGGAAGGATGGTTTTCAGCTGCAAGGAGACAATGGACACAGAATTTGTAGTTACTTGGGAGGAAAGTAGGGAAACAACTCATTGCTGCAGCTTTGTTTCATAGCTTAGTTGATGTGTCAAATCCTTGCTGAGAAGAACTCAGGCAGTGCCTCTGAGGGGTGTCTCTTAGAGAAGCCTAACTGTTCCATTTCCTACTTTATGAGCTTTGCCTCTCTAGAAATTTAGTTTTAAAGCACTTCTTTTGTTCAAACAAAATCTGCCACTGCCATGTTGTTTGTGATCACAAATCCTGAACATCTGAGAGATCTCAGATTTTCAAGCAGCATCAGGATATGATTAAGGACATGATTAAGTCAGAAATTGACACCAAACATCTGTTGGCTCTTTTGATCTAGCTGCTCACCCATGCAGAAACTGCCATATAATGACTGTAGGTCATTAAGTCCAGTTTGCTATATTTCAAGGAACTTGTTTCATACAAACACTTTCTCAAAATGAACAACATTCACTGTAGACAAAAGAACCCTGAGAAGTTTTCTCCCAGATTACTTTGTTGATTAGGAGTTAGTGATGATTTTTAAATCATTAGTTCAATGTCAACATTACCTTCTAATTCTTAATAACCTTCTTCTTTCCAGTCTATACTCATGTACTTATAAACACACAAAAAATGTATATTCCTCTTCAAACTCTGATTTGAGGAGTTGAACAAACCATTTTTCTAGTGTAATATTACAGTCTCTGTTCTAATTTACTTTTCTTGCCATTTGAATTTATCACTCATTAACAAAATTGTCAGAAATGCATATGATGTTCTAGATGAGTATTCATTGTGATGCTGTTCCCCTTTCTCTGTCAGAAAGGTTTCCACTGATTTATGTTAAAATTGCCTTTTTTAAAGCCATACTACATAACAGGCTTGTAGTCTTGATCAAATGCCTATGCATCTACCTCCAGCCAAGCATTCTCCCTAATGCCCACTTACAGGGTAAGTTTTAATGTTTTTGTTTCTAGTTTTTATTACTTTTTCTCACTGCTACTGTTAGATATATGATACACGATAGCCTAGTGATAGAAAGTCTCATTCGATTTGCTCATAGGATTTGAGGACAGCTGTGCTAAAAATGTACTCAAAGAAAAGCCCCAAGGCTTCTCCAGCTTTCACTGAAATATCAGTCTCTACCTGTTGTGCCATGGCTCTGATTCTCCAATATTCAGCCTCAGCACTCGGCGAGAGGGAGGGGGCTGCCACCTTCACTTCACAGGCGTCTCCACTAAAGCTTTCAGAACCACTGTGGAAATAGCCCAATAGGTTCTATAGAGAAACACAACATCAGACTTTCACTGTGCGTTAAATTAAATCAGTGATTGTAGAACTGTTGAACTTGTTCATCTTTAATACAAAATTCAGAGTGGGAGGGATCTTTCCCAGTACTATCAGTGGACCACCTGCTATTCAGTGTTCAGTGTATTTGATGCAAATGCATTACAACAACTTACACAGTAGTGAATTAAAGGGAATTTTTTTGTCACATAGTGGTGATTTAAAAAATAATCTGTATGGAGCATGCAGCAACTGGATCAAGTAAGCAACTTTGTTTTCTGTCTACATTTAACAAATTCAGAAGAACTGGAACAAAAGGTAAGGATCTTCTGATTTCTTGCTGGTGGGGCAATTTAAAGTTAGTGACCACTGTTGTCTGTAATGTGCTTCAAAAAAAAAAAAAAAAAAAGATTTCAGTCTCTATTGTTGATCCAATGCCTTTCATTGTGATTAAAATAATTAACAAAGAAAACATAATTTTATTTTCCAGCCTCTGTATCCAAAACCTTTTGTGTGTGTGTGGGCACATATGCGTATGTGTGAGACAACTTGTCAAAAGTTAGGGTATAATTAGTTTTGACTGTCAGCAAAAAGTCAGTTTACCTTTACTGGCTCCAGAGTGGCAGAGAATGCATCCTGCAAGGCACAACATGCAAGCCTCCACATCTCTTCAGTAAAAACAGGTCCTGCTGTCACTAATACATACCTAAAAGGTAAGCACACAGGAAAACATTACCATAAGAAATAACTGAACAATTCTCACCTGTAATGGGAGAAGGTGGAAAACTAAAGAAATGGTCCATTTAGTAACTAGCTAATTATATTCAGTCTCCTAAGAATTAATAGTTGTTATCCTGACCCATTTTTTTTATATAACACTGAATTTTTGACTGCTTTTTCTTCAATTTTCCTCCTTAAACAAACAATCACCTACAGAACATATATAGAACTATATGTTCTGTAAGTATTTAAGGGAGTGCTTATTTTGACTGTGATTGCAATAAACTGAAGACTGTAAAGATATCCACACTCAAAGACCTGTGAATTGCCACAGAAAGCCCCTTAATTATTTTTCCTAAGTATTAATTATTGACTAAGTGTATACATGTATTGTACAAGTATTTTTACAGGAATGACACACATAGCAATGTCCAAAACTACAGGTTCTGAAGCAGACAGAAAACAGTTAAAAAAAAAAAAAAAAAAAAAGGCTGATAAGTCTAAAATAGAGATATATTGCAGACTTCTGAGATGCTAGCCAACTTAGTCTGTCCACAAATACTTCAAAGGCTTTTTTTTTTTTTTTTTTTTAAATATGCTAACAGAGTGAAGAGATTGTTACCTGATACAAGAGCAGCCAACTCTGGAAATAATTTCTGTTGGTTCTGCTACACAGGCGACCAGCAACTTGAAAAGATCTTTTAGCATAGTATTGATCATATTTTCATAACCAATATCTGTAAGGAAAAGACACAAATTGGTTTTATTTAGCATCATTGCCTTTGCACTGCAATTAAAGAGAGTCTTGATATGCTTACTGCAATTCAGAAACTTTTCAAAACCAATTCTTTTTATGTAGATATCAGTAGAGTTCAGTTTTGAAACAAGCATCACGTCCTATTGAAATGAGAACAGTCCTTTTGAGGATAATGATTTCAAATGTGTAGGCTTCAGATGTACTAGAGAAATTCTGTTAGCTTCTGTTTCTGAATGTTATAGTTCCTTAAGACTGAAGTCTTGTTGTCTTCTTTTGGAAAGCGTAATGGACGCTGTGATTATTTAATTTTGAAGTTAGCCCTTGTATGAGCAACAGCCTGGACTAAATAACCTCCACAAGTCAAGTTATATTTTTTCTATTTGTTATTAAAAAAGAAAACAAATTCTTAACCCTCCTCCTCTTGTTCTACACTTGAGCAACCAAAAAAGCAAAGAAATCACCTCCCCAGGTAGCTATTCAGTAACATGCCATCAAACGACTGTCAGGAGATTTGATAGTGTTAGGACATACCTGAGTGTATGAAGTTTTGAATGTGCTCCACAACGAGTTCACAAGAAAGGCCAATGGCATGCTTGAAATTAGCAGATGCCACATCCCAGTAAGAATGGTCACCATGGCTGCGATGGAGCCAAAGCGACATCGTAGGAAGAAGAAGATGTACAACTGCATAAATGCCAAATCCTGGGCCTTAAAATAAACACAATGATGGTTGTATTTTTTTGCTTACGCAGCCTACATTCAAGATACATTTCTTAATTCATTCCAAGCTTGAAGCCAGGGGTGATTCTAGAGAAAGCAGTTTCTGAAACTCTTTTTTATAGGTTAAGAGAAGGGTGCAGTTGTAGATTTCATTATGAGATTAGTTTTAGTTCTGAGTACATGAATGTTTACTCAACTGTGAATCTCCTGTGCTGCTCAGGGGGTCTACAGGACCGTATAACTTTATCAGTTTCCTGGACTTCAAGCAAATGTTTTCTGTAGCCGGGACACTGCCAGAATACTGCACCTCTTTATTTGTGCATGCAGGACTTCAACACACTCCTACAACATGCCTTCTGTCACCATAGAACAATAGGCTAACTAACTGGAACCAGAGATCCCATTCTCAGAAAATTCCATTGTATTTGAGCATGTCTGTGCAGCTCTAGCACGAAGAGTATCGCAGTTCATAGATGTGAGTTAGCATAATAGAAGGGACAGGCCATGGCTCCAATGGCTCACAGTTTATCCTTTAATTACCAGGTGTCTTGGCAACATCCCGCAGCAACTCAAAGAGCAGATCCAGAGTTGGAGGTTGGTGCTGACGGGGACAGTTGGATATGGCAGTTGTTAATTCTTCCAGCAGAATAATCCAGACATTGATAAGGCCTACAAGTAAGAAAACAAACTTTAAAAAGTAGTGTGACACTGCACTGACCACAGGTGGAACGTGCCCTCAGAAGTGATGGAGACTAAGCAATTAAATAACTTAAAAGATCATAAGTACTTTCTCATTTCACTACTGTGGTATAATTGCAGAGGGCAATATCAGTTTTTCAAGATATTGTCTTCTTTTCTTACCCTTTAATTAAGTTTCATGTTTTGTCTCACTCTTCCTCCTCCACACACCTTTTTCTGGTCTAAGTTTGCCATTCCCACTAATCCAGTTCTTGTTTTTGTTTTTTTGAATGCATTTTCAAGTCTTGATTGACAAGTTAGCCAAAGAAAATTGAATCTTCTTTCTTAAAAAGCATATAAAATGCAAAGTCCAGTAATGAACATGGCTCCATGCACATCTAGTTCCTGTGTTCTTCAAACACCTGGTTAATCCACAACCCACACAAGCAACACAGATAGATAACCAGGAGAATAATGTTCCTCATTTTTCTGGAGGTCATACCACCTTCTATGGATTTTAGTTCATTTGGTTCAACAGACCATGGCATTTAAGTTTGGAAACATATTTAAGCAAGTATTCTTTATCTTTATAAACTTTAATTAACACTGACAATTTTTTCTGTGAAAGGAAGGGCTGTCAGCATCAACCTCAAAAGGCTTTCATTCCTTTAGTGTAGCTGTGGTTCCAGAAAGTACTTTTCTATTTGCTTTCAGACATATATTCGCTGTATTATAACATGTTAAGTACTCTGATATTTATTCATTTAATTACAATATTATTGCCTTCTCCCATGAAACTGGTTGCATTTTTCTCATATATGAGCTGTAGCTTTTAACATACAGAAATGGACAGGATCTGAACTCTAAGTTGTATGCGTATACAGACAACAGACACAATAAACTCTGTGAAGTTTTTCCCCTCCTCTTTGCTTTCAGCAGTTGGCAAAATTTACAGTAACATGTAAAAGAAACAATTGATTAATCTTACATTTCCTGCTTTCAATGCACTTACCAGTGTCATCATCAAAGTCAGAAAGGATGCACTCAATACCATCCTCACTGCTGGCTGACTGCTCCTGCACTCTTCGGGGCATATTAACCAGCCGGCCACTGAGGAAAATAGGTTTCAAGGGCATTTTGTAGATTTTGGCTAACAACTAAAAAATAACAAAAAAAAGAGAGAAAAAAAATACATAAGAGAAATGTCACTACTTTTAGCTCTGTTTTACAGTAACTCCGTAAATAAGAATTTATGTCACTCTGGATGTGCTACTGTTAGGTTTTGAATGTTTTTTCCCCACATGCACTTCAGTTCTGAGTGCTGTTACCTCCTCGGTTTTGACTGCTGTTAGCTGGCTCAGAACACATCAGGATCCTTCAGATTTCCAGTCTCTATCTATCTGGCAGTGCGGCCTCTTACCTGTAGCAAATTCTATTGTATTCATGCATATTACCTAACCAGTGATGCAAAGCCTCAAGGTCAGGACTGTCTCCTAGGCCATGTTAGTACCTGTGCAAGATTGTTCACTATACCTGAGAACATCTCCTGAGGTAATCAAGCGCGGGAAGGCACAAGTCTGTAGATGCTGATCCTGATCCTGGCACACAGTCACCCATCTCCTTACAATCTATTTCCCCTAGGGATGGGAAAGGCAGCATTGGGAGGGACAGAAGAGAAACAAACGGTATTAGCCTTGTTTTTCATGCAGTTGTATTCTAAAGTCTGAATAGAACGCAGAAATCATCCTTTGTCTGATCTTATCAGATGACAACTGAATAATTCTCATACCTTGCTTTTTGATGTGAAACCACAAGTGGGACAAACTTACCTCATGAAAGTAAGAAACCTAAAAGAAATACAACAGCATTTCCACAGCAGGGATGCAAGTTCTCCTTTCTGTACTGGACAGGCAAGTTTATTCCTCTTTTGTAACAATAATTACAGTTTCAGTCTGTCATCACAAGCTGAATTTTGCCCCCCATTGATATAAATGGCAAAATAACTTCTTAATAGGAAAGGAATAATTGCAGTTAGGTACTTACCTACCTACTAAACTTACTTACCTACTAAACCTTAATACCTCTGTGGATCCTTTGGCCTAAGTTGTATTCATATATATAAAGAAAAAAACAGTTCTCCTTTACTGTTTACTAGAAATTTTGCAATTCATATATGGGAAAAAATATACCAATTTCACAGTTCAATGAGAACTGTTTAACTGTAACAATCAAGGCAAGCGAAGGAACTTGTGGGTTGAATGACCCAGCAGCACCTCTCCTCTGTTCTGAAGTTTGGTGAAACACCACGATTACACTGTGACTTGACACGTCTAGTCTCTGCTGTCCTCAGTAATGCAACAGAAAAATTAATGCTTATGATCTCAACCAAGGTTGAGAAATTGAGACACTGCCTCTCTTTTCCCTACCATACTCTGTATTACAAAGCAGGATTCTCATTTTTGGCAGAATCAAGTTTGACATACTGTAGATTAATAAAATATAAGGAAAATAGAAGTATTTACCCAGTCCTTTCACAAACTTCATAAGGCACATAATATAACTGGTGGCGGCATTGGCAAAGACCTGGATGCTGTCAGTGTTTAGAAATGCTTCAAAGACATCAAACACTGGGGCCTGGCGTTTCCCTGTGGAAATAACAAGATGAGGACTTTTCCCCATCCCCCATAAGAAGAATTTCAACAGTTTCTCAACAATTTAACTGAATCTGTAGGATCAATTCTGTTCTGGAAAGAGACAGAAATGCTCCAGTCATCTTAGAAGTAAAAACTAACATGCTTTCTCCTCTTTTGCTCCCAAGGTAATGCTGACTCCTTTCTTCACAACATCTATAAAAAATATCAGCTTACCAGTGTCTACATTGTGAGAGCAGGTACATGCACTCAGCAGTTGAGTAACATTTTTGTTTGGTGGAGCCTTAGTCCTAACTGTCAAAACAACACAGCAGTCACACTGAAAACTATTCTGACTCTTCTGATACAGTGACAAAACAGCTTTGTTTTTCCTAAGCAGCTAATCAGTCTTCAAAAGCTGTATACATTCACATTTTGCCACTGATCATAACAGATCTGAAAGACAAAATTTAGGAGGCAAGCCATATGCCTCATGCATGGCTTGTAACATTTATTAACCTGTAAATGCGGCAAAAGGACAGATTAAAATTATTTTATCCTTACTAGCCAGCTTTTATACTAGCAATCATCTCTAAGAGAGACGTAGGATCAATTGTAAAGCAAATATGATTTGTAATCAGCACTAGTAATTAGAATCCCTGTGATTGAGGGCTTGGACAACTACATGCCTGCAGTATCGCACCAGTTGACTTTGATGTAAGAGCAGGAGGTTTCACATGGTAAGAAAGACAGTCGACACGAGAGGCGGTGACTGTATGCAGTCACTGCAGCAGGGCAGTGACTCACACACGATCATTTTGCTCAAAAATATTCAAGTAGGTTTGAAGCATTTTTTTTCTTATTCTACTCATCTGCCAGAACTGAAAGGATAAAAAGGAAATTTTCTCTGCTTTCACTCCCAGCCTAATAAATCAGATATGTCAGTACAGTCTTAGAGTATTACACTGCCATTGTGAGCTATACTGTTTCAGAGCATCTATTCAGGTCAGGCATTTAAAATGTACTGAGTTATTTCTTGGGGCCCCAAGGAATTAAACTGGAAAACAAAAGCACACACATAACAGTCAGTGCTTAAGTCCTTACCCATAGAGTATTCTCCTACAAGGTACTCTTTAACCTCTGACTTATTGCCGCTGTGAACTGTTTCCAGGGCACTGAACAGGGGTCTCCATCCTGACTGGATCTGGGTAGAACACATTTCCACCAACTCTCCTATGGAGGTGACCACCTGCAAACAGTGTAGGAAAGGCTCAAAGAATAAAACCAGAACTGATACAAAGCTGGACCTGCAGAAGGAATGAGGAAGGCTTTAAACACATTGCTGGATATACTCTTTTGTCTAGATTTTGAAATCCAGATTTTTTTCTGGTTAGATAATTTAATTAAATCGCTTTAAAGCCAGATGCACTTCTACTAAAGAACTAGTCTAAGCAATAAACAGGTAAGTGCACAGGGGCGGAGTTCTGAAAACACAGTGCTTCTGCATTGTACAAAGTTATTCTCTAAAGGTACTGTTCTAATACCTGGTGTGCTAGAATCTTGGGAAACACAACAATAATTTGGTAGGTTTAAACATCACATTTGGGTCTGCTTCTGAGGGAAGACCTGACTGTGGAATAGGGCCACACATATATTATTTCACAACAGCTTTACAAAAGAAGAACAGTAAGCTACACTGAACAGCAACATGTCAAGGCTCTTTTGAAGTACAGAAGGATATCTGTATGCTATCATAATGCTGATTTAGGTAGGCAGGGCCCTCCTGAATTCCAGAAGATAATTGAGGGACACCATTTGAAGGGCATTTGGGAAATATTCAAGTGGACCAAGGGCATTCTGCTGACCATCCTTCTTATGGGCATGGTAGGTCAGATACAGACACCCCTATCAGGGCTGACTTGCCTGGTCTTGCACATCCTCATCACACAGCTCCAGCTGCATGATACGCTCAAAGGGGCGGAAAAGTGACTCATTAAAATGAAAATGAGAAGGCTCATTCCAGTCCGTCAGCACTTCGGTAAGGATGTCATGGATGAAGGAGACAGCCTTCCGAGACACATGCCTCTCCTTGTGACAGGCAGCCTGCAGGGAGAGGAAGAGTATAAGACTTCGCCCAACCACAAAAGCACTTAATGATGCTGAACCCTAATGAGAGCTTCATCATGACTGTAACTAGGGAGCCCATTGCCAAGAAAATAGGAAAGTACTGGTATGGAACTGGGTGACTAAGACTATGAGCTGCTTAGGGTCTCACAGATGCATAAAGATTTGATGAAAATTGAAGGAGCAGACAGCTAAAAATAAATTAAAGAATAAACTCCATGAACAGATCTCATGTTAAGTACTACCTTTTGTTGCTATGAGGTGGCCATTTTTCCTATGTATATCCATCATATTTGATAAAAAGTGGCATTTGATCATGCTTATACTTGGCCGTTAATGGGACTTAAAAGTGAAGAGAACAGATCAAATAGGACATAATGTTAAGGGCTGTTACATATTTCAAGAAGACCATTATGCCTTCTTCAGCTGTTTCAGCATTGCCATCCCTTGCACACATTCCCATTTTCTCCCCAATCCTACCTCCACCAGGTGAGGGGCCACCAGGCTCCAGCAGCGCATGAGGTGGAGCAGTGGGCGGGATTTACTCCTCACAATTCTGAGCATGGCATCACCAAGTCGGAACAAGTGAAGTGCACTTCTCCTGTCCTGGGTGGATTTTACTTCTCCTACAAGGGAGTAAAACAAAATAAACAGAAGCGTAAACAAAAAGCTGCTCCTTCATCTCTGGATGTCTAAAGAGAAATGTAAATCAGGTTCGAAATTTATAATACACAGCCAGAAAGAAATCAGTGCAAAACACAGCTTATACCTGGGTAGGTAAAAGAACAGGAGATAGACCCAAGCTTTATGAACAATGCAGTAAAAACATTTCATTTTCCTTTGACTGAAGATTTTTTGGGAATGTTTTTAAGACATAAAGACTTGGAAAATAATGCATTATAATTCAATTATGATAACCAGTATGGATAAAAGCAGGATGTAAACAATTGATACTGAGAACCAAAATAACAGTTGTAAAAACCTTTGGTGACATCTACAGGAAAGAATATAGACTGCAGATTATTTTGCTTTGCTTTGTCTTTTGTACTTATTACCACACAATTGGTGAGAAGCAGAGAATTTGAGAAAAGGATCATGTGTTCTACAGCCACTAATACTTTCACTTCCTACTGAAAACAACTCATCTTCCTTTCCTCTTACAATATTTGAAAATACACTTCATTGTCTCACTAGAATATGCTATTTTAAAATATGGACATGCCACTTTCAATGTAAAAATATATATCCAGTTAATTGCCCTACCTTAATGTGAATGTCATTACTAGCTACTGTTGACTTACTGCTACATATAACGCTATCCTTTTTTTTTATATTAAAAAAAAAGCAATTAGAGACAAGGAGGAACCAAAAAAAACCTGATTTTTATACTGAGATAATATTAAGTAGCATCTCAGGGAAAGGAGAAACCAATTAAGTTGGTTTTCACGTCTGCCACAGGACAGACAACTTTTTACAGGTTTTCTACTGTAAGGCATGTGCTTCACTTTGCTGAGGAAGAGTAAGCAGACAACTCCCACTGCTGAATTTTTCATTTCTCAAGTGCATGCTTCATTTGCTATCACTCATTTTATGAACACTTCTAAGCAAAATGTCCTTTGAAGCGTCTCACAGCAGGGGTAGATGTGGTCCTTGTCTAAAAAAAGTTCTCCATCTTTTCTAAAGACTTTGCAGTACTCCTACAGAAAGATCTTATTAGAATAAATATTGTTTTCTTTATACTCCAAAATTCCAAGTGGAAAAATTAAAACCTTAATAATACAAAGCTAATCTTGCAAGCAGTACAGTTGTATGTGAGACAAAGAAGTCTGTGTTTCTGTTGTTTTTTTTTTTTCTACCTGGCATTGCTAGGGAGTAATCAACAGTATCTGTGACAGAATGGAAAAGTTGGGCCTGAGAAGCCTTCTTGAGCTGGTAAAGGAAGCCTGCCAGTGCCATCAAATTTAACTTATCAGCAGCATCTTCAAAGAGCCTGTGAATAAAAGAATACAAATCAACTGAAAAATTCATGATATGGAGACTTAAATGTGTTTGCAAGAGGAAAACCTTTACATGTACATAACTGCTGTGCGTTGCTTCTGGCAACACACAGGAAGACCTTGATCCAGAAATATTATTAATTGGAGAGTGGTAGAATGTTGTAGGACCAAACAGAACCCTTCCAACATTCAAATGCAGCACTACAACAAAAAGTTACTTTTTCAAGGAATCACCACTGTCCCTTAAGTATCTTAATTGCATAAACAGCTCATAAACAATAATTACAAAAATATGCTCAGCCCTCCCAACTTACATCATCAGAGCTTCACTGACCATAGCAGTTTGCTCCATCTGAAAAGTCCTTTAATATGACAAAGAAATGAATTTAAGTCTTAGATCTAAAGCTGCTGCATCTGAATTGCTATGTAGGAATATAAACAAGAGCCATTATTTTCAACTGCAATGAGCTCTTAAGATTTAAGAGATAAACCTGTACCCTTAAAATTTTGAACAGATTGGAGGCAAGTTTTCATAGAATCACAAAGAAATTTCACATGGTACAGCCAGAAGTTAACACAGCCATGATTTCCTGGTTCTGCTTTTCATGAAAAACTTTCTGTTGTTCTGACAGTAGGAACTGCTTTCCAACTGACACTGGTCTTGTAACTCAGTCCCTTCCTGTCAAGGCACAACACCTATTTTTTTTTGGTCTGCTTTAATGAGCAAACAAAATAGATTAATTTACATGCAAGCAATAAAACAACCACTCCTAGGATGCATGTGATTTACTGGCGGATTCAGACATACCCAGCCCAGTGCTTCCAAGAAGCAGGGCAAGTACAGCAAAGGTGCAGAAAACCAAGTCTTTTAAGTGCTGCTGGCTGTGATATGTAGCTCCCTTGTGAAACTCAACTGAAGCAAGTGGCTGCAATAGACGTACAGATCAGGACTCACTGTATCGCAGAAAGGTCCATGTTGGTCTTGTTTTAGGAGCAGAGAATCTAGTGGTGCTTTTACCTGTCTGCTTGTGTGGAGAGTGTGAGAACAGCCTTGGCAGCACTGGTCCCACACAGCAGGCTGCCTCCACGGAAGTCGAAAGCTCTGCCCTTACTGCTCTCCTTGACAAGTTCCTGGATGGAAACTGGCTGAATGACAGGATTACTGCTGAGGCTGGTCTCCTGCTCAGGGGTTTGTTCCTGTGGAGTCTCTCCCAGCTCAGTGTCTGAGTGTGGGCCTCCAGGTGCCTGCTGTGACTGGGTGATGGTAAGGCAGGGCTGGGATGTGCCGTCACTGAAGTGGTTGTGCTCCAGAGTGCTGATGTACTCACACACCCTGAGAACAGAAAGAAAAGATGGATTAATGCCACAGAGCAACAGCTCTTGTGTCCCTAAATCAGAGGACTCACTGAAGAAATGCTTGAATCTCTACTTAAGTCAGAAGCACAGTGTAAACAAAATTCTCAGACACATCACAGATAGTCTGTTGTCTTACGTCCCTTGGCCTCCCATGTCCTCATATAGCAAACAGCCTAGCTGAGGAACTTGAACAGCCATTTAGGTTTCAGGATCTGACACAGTCTTCTGACAATGCTGAATTTTTGAAGCATTGATTTTGTCTCCAAACGGATGCGGAAATAAGTGATTTTTCTCTTACAGATATTTAATTCAGCTTAATTACAATTAATTCAGTCTGTTACTGGCTATGGAGAAGACTCCCAGAGTATGTAAAGTCCTTTTTCTCAGACTGATACTTTGTGGCAAGATATTGTAAATTATGTTTCTTTTGGGAAAGCTGCTAAGTACCTGAACACATGAGGCCAGCAGTCTTGATTGTGGCTTCCCATCTCCAGGCCCACATTTAGGACTGCATCCATACACAAAACATGAGCAGTGTGTAGGCAGACACCCTGCATTTTCCCCATCTGCTCCAGTTTCTGCTCCACTTTCTGTTTCACTGCAGCACAAAAAACAAAAAGAACATTGCCATCTCCAGCTTTTAAACAAACATTTGCTTCTTTGTATGGTGGTAATAAAGGTATACAGCCTGAAAGCTACAGAAGAAGTTTGAATTTACATAAAAAACAGACTACAGCATCTCATTTTTTCCACATAAACATAAGGCAGTTTTACAATGAAAATCCCTTTGGATTGATTTTATGAAAAATAAGTCTGAGATTGACACCCTCTAGCCTCAAATTCACATCTTATTGCCCACAGAACATATGTAGCATTGCCAGCAATACTACATGTTTCTATTCTGTGCTGGATTTTTATTTATTTATTTTTTACTAACATCTTTTTTGCAATAGAAAAAAGGGTTTATGGATTTCACATTATTTCCATATAAAAGTTCTAACAAAGAGCATTTGATAATGGATGCTCTTGTCAAAGCAGAACTAATCCTATTCTGAGCTACAAGCATTTGGATTTTCTTTTTCATGAAAATCTCCAAAAAGCTTAATTTTCATGCTGCCCTGGAATGAAAACAAATTCTGAAACTTTCCAGTGTCCATAAAACAAGTCTGTTGGCCTCTGGCCACTGCTACTACCTCCTTTTATGCAGCCTGGCCAACTCAATTCAGTTATATTGAACAGAGCGGTCAAAAGATAGTTTGCCCTCAGACCTCCAGTTTGTTTTCTCTACTGAGACACTGAAATCCAGTGCCAAGTAGGGTCATCAGTGCATACTTTGTTATGGGTTTCTTGCCATTAGCTGATTTCAGCTCCATATAAATTACAATTAACATGACAAGTTGTTAAGAAGCTACGACAGCAAGACATTTATTGAAACCTCTAGACTTACTTCCCGTATGCCTATAAAAAATAATGGTGACATCCCCTTCTGTTGTTCTTTTGTGTATAGCAAAGTATCTTCCAGCTGCATCTCTGCAAACAATATGAGATAAGGTAGATCACTTAATCACATTGTTACCTTGAGTTATAGCATCACTGGGCTCTTGGATTTCTTTTTCCTCTTTCTCTTCTTGGACGCAGGATGCAGCAGCCATTTGGGCAAGAGCAGATGCACAGTTGGCAGCAACTCCTGTAAACAAACAGCAGAATGTTTAACTCGCATTGCCTCCTTAACTCCAAACAATCTGAATGACAGGTTGAGTCAAGTCAAAATGGATGTATATGTCTCTGTTGTAGGTAAGGTGGGTTCTATGGGAAGTTCTACAGGTTCCTTGATCCTTGATTTGGACTAGAAAAGAATACTGCTTTCTCTTCCAAATTCATTTAGGGATAGTTATCGTCTTATTTTGTGAGTGTGCCAGACAACACAAAACACAGCAGTACCTAGGGCACAGCTCAGGCGGGCTGCCCTCCTCAGTCCATCCAGGCTCACACATATGGAGTCCTTCTCCTTTTGGTTCTGCTCTTTGGCTCCTTCTGCTCCCAAGATAAATGCCAGCCCCTTGGAGCTGCCTGCCATGCGACCAGTCAGCGGTGTGGACAAAGTGTCAATCAAGTTCTTCCAACAGCCAATTAAGAGGTATCGGGCAAAAGCAACTCCTGGAGTGAGAAATGTGTTACTACCACTACTGGAAAATGACATAAAAGCATCTCTATTATCAACAGTTAAAAAATGCAGAAAAAGAAGTCATAAATGTCCCCTGCATGCTGGACTGTCCAACTGATTCATATACAGGATACACTGATACACTTCCTTCAAATCTTAATCTGCTGTTCTTAAACCCAAGTGTGTTTATGGTATAGAACAATTCACCATTGGTAGATACACTTGTGCTTACAATATATTCTCAGTACCTGCAACAACAGAATCATCTGTCTTCTGATTCTGGGAAAGAGGAGATTGAGTTGAAGCAGATGCCATCAACTGGCCACCAACCGTACTGCTTCCCAAGCCATCGATGTCTGACAGAATATTAAAGAAAACAGATTACTTACTACTCAACAAACAGATGGCAAAAAGAAAGTATCTCTTATTGGCTCCATGTTCAAGCAGGTTTTAGTGTCCCTGATTTCTCACGTATGCTTTTTAGATTCTCTTTTCTGGCAGCCTGGTGAAGCCTTGGTATAAACATAAGCTGTGGCACTTTATATGCTTTGTCTGGTATTATCAGCTTTTTCTCATAGAGTGGAAATAACCCCACTCCCAAGAGCTCCCTGAAATTACACAGTCAGTGGAAATTCTGGTAAAGATTACATGGTATTTCTTATAGTTTTGGACCTCCTGCACACTTATGCACAATCTCTGCATTTCTGAGTATTTCCCTTCAAATCTTGCTAAAACCTGTAACCATGTGATCCCATATCTCACAGTCCCCCCAACACACTGGGATCATATTTTCTAAATAGAATTGTTAGTGGGTTAGACCTACGTGGGTTCAATGTCAACAAAAGAAATGCAACATTTACTGCAACACTGGACTAGCTTGCAACATAAATATTAAGGACACTGGACTGGCTTACTTCCTAGAAGCCTGTCTGTCTCTCTTCCACGTGGCTATTCTTTTTCCAAAAGTGTTTATTTCAGCTTCCCAACTGACCACTCATCATACAATATTTAAAGGAAACACTGGTCTCAACACAGTCAGCAAAAACCTCTCAGAACATTGCTCTCTGATTACCAGTTAATGGCTCAGCTGAAACAGTGTTCTCCATACATTGTTCTAATTACTTTTTTGCAATCATACAGTATGTACATTCAGAAAGACAGTGTATTTTATACCACTACAGTATCATAGGCATCTAAAGGTAACCAAAATTCACATGATTTTACACATAGGTTATTAGGAATATCAGTAGGATACTGGGTCCAGTAGCATTTAAAGAAGTGTATTTCTTCCTTACAACTCCTGAAGTCTATCAGTACCTCCTGAAGCAAAAGGCAGCCACCTTTCAGAGAAAATAACAGTGTCTTTTTTTTTATTTTTATTTTTTTAATTCCATATCCTCATCATTTATCTTAATTAGCAAGCATTCCTCTGGAGGCAATAAGGAGGAGGAGTCTCTGTTCATCTGGATCCTGATAATAACTGTGACTTTGGGACACTGCCACCACACAGATGATAACCCACAAGTTGAGCAAACAAGTCATTCCAGTCTATTTAGCTTTGGGTCACACTGACCACAGAGAGTCAAGACTACTACTAAGTTTCAGTGGATTTGTTTGTTTTTAAACCCAGGTTTAAAAGTTTCCTGTCTGACCCAGAACGAGCACTTCAGTATCTGCCACCACTGAGTGGTGCACATTAGTGAAACACCATTCATTGCTTGATTACACAGTTTGGTATGTAATGGACCAAAGCAGAGTGTTATTGTAGCTTTGTAGCAGTCGTTTTAGACACGACTGGATGTTAGTTCCTGCCATCATAACATTGTACTAACCAGTCAGCATGGTGATAAGTGGAAGGCTGTGTTCTTCAGGGCTTCCCCAGTATCCAGCTTCCCCTAGCATGTTCCTTTCCAGTACTTGGTGGTACAGTTCTTCAACCCAGGCTTGGGAAAATATCATCAACACTCCGCTGGACTGTACCTGCTTCATGAACTCTTTCTGCAGACAACCAGAAAAGCCAGAAGTAAGACAACAGTAAGTTCTATAGCACGAGTTTCTAGCACTAGATCCATTCCTGAGCATAAGGTGATGCAGAAGTAGAAATGAAGTTATACAAAACTAAAAACTAACAGAGAATCACAGCGTGTCTCTATGGTGAAAATGACATGAACGTAATTCTTGTTGGAGAATGACACAAATAAAGAGCTTCCCTTCTCTTATTGTAAATCATGCAAGATACAAACAATAATGACAGTTCTCATACAGCAACAAAGGCACAAGCTGATCTCTTACCATTTTCACAGGGTGGGGACAGAATCTCAACTCCATTAAAAACAAATTTGTGACACCTAATGCTGCTTGTCCAGCAGTCAGGCCCTCTTGCATTGTCACAGACAAATTGGGGTCCAATTAGATATATCTGAACTATTTTCAGTAATACTTAGGTATTAAAACCTAATTATCTTTCACTGATGCTTTCATCTGTATAAATGCAAAGCTGGTATTAAGCAAGACTGGTATTTGTTAATATGCTCAGAAGTATCTGCAAGATGAAGGCAGACACCTTTATAGTAGGGACTAAAAATACTTAATATATGACACATTGGTAGTGAAGATTTGTTACAAAGATGCAGCATCCATCAAAATGACTGCTTCTTTAATGATAATCAGTTGGCAGCATTCATTCCTCCCCAAATTACAGAGAAGCTGTGTAGTTCAGATGCATGACGTTTATCATGCAAAATTTATAAGTAGTTTGCTTCATTTGCAATTATTATTTCTCCACTTAGCAAGTATCATGAAGGACACTTACAAGCAGGCTGTGAAAGGAAATGAAACAATCTCTTTTCAAACATTTTCTCTGTATTCACCAACTCACCAGCAACACAGGGGCTTGGGGAAGCTTCTTTCTGTAGTAATCTGAGTTGGCCAATTTTAGGTTTAGCAGCAGAGTATAATGAGAGACCATGTAGAGACTGTCTGCATTCATCAGAGTTTGGAAGCTGAAATTTGGGTTTCCTTCAAATCCTGGTGAGTGCATCATACCTAACAAAAACACCATGTGAGCTCTCACATTTTACACAGATTTTGCCTGGAAAAAAAGATCAGAAACTAACCCTAGCATTCCAGCAGCAACAGATTGCTAGAATAGTTAATGAATCATCAGCAGAAGTTGCTCTATTTAATGTACTAGAGTAGGGAGTAGAGAACTAAACAGTCCATCCATAATGCAGTGCTGCAGCACACCGAACAGTCCAGTCACTGTCCAGCAAAGAAATATGCTTAATTTGAAGTGCATAAGGAGCACCAGTATTCATTAGGATGTCTGCCAGGTTCAAAGCAAAGGGCAGGATACATTTGCAGTGCTAATCAGATGCGGGTAGGGGCAGAGGCAAAGCCTGTGTACTTACAGGACATTGAGCATACTTGGCACAAATGGTGCTAATGAGGGACACAGACCTTTTAACATCCTAGTAAACTTGTTCCAGCTGAGTTGCTGGATGAGGACTGGAGTGTTCAGCACCTTGCAGGGTCAGGCTGTAATCAAAGAATGGCCTAGGTTGGAAGGGACCTTAAAGCCTACCCAGTTCCAAACCCCCTGCCATGTGCAGGGTTGCAACCCGCTAGGATCAGGCTGTCAAGGCATCATTCTTTCCATGGCCTAGAGGTATGTGTACAAATATTTGGAGTCAAGCTGGCTGGGACTTGCCCTGTTTAGTTCATACAACACCTGGTTTTTAGACAGCTGAGCACTTGTCAGTCCCATAAGCCATTATCTGTAAGCACTCAGTACTCCTGAAAACATTATCTGTATGAAGCTGTACCTCTGGGCATGACTGTAGCGTGTAATCTCTTCTTCCTAGGTAGGGTGGGCAGTACATACATTTTATTCTGAGTTAGCTGGCCTACTGGTAGAAAATAATTAATCAAGTATGATCAATACTTAATCAAACTCCTCTGAGCTATCATCTGAGCCACGAAAAATCCAGAAATGTTTGACTCCCTCCCACCATGAACCACAATATTTTGTGGTTTTCACATCAACTGTGAAATCCATTCATATAACATTAATTAGGGGAAATTAAGGAGTAAGTTTTCTCCTAGAGGAACATTTGTAATGAAACAAAAGAGAGAGCTTCCAAGGTTTGTTACATGAAGAAGCACAGCTGTGTCACTTCGTTAACTGCTGAAGTGGTTGACTGTGAACATTTTCCTCCCACCACAAATCTCATGCCTGTTCTTAGACAAAATACAACAAATCATCAACATTAAAAAATAAAAAATTAAAAAAAAAAAATCCACACACAGAAAAGAAGCAAACGTTTTTCTTGCCTCGTGAGGGTTTGAAAGTTCTGTGCTGCTGCCTTCTCGGACTTTCCACTGACGTCACTTTGGGGGCGTGGATAAGGTGAATAACTGTTTGAGGGCGGATTTAGAGAGAGAGTAACTGTTCCAGGGTGGGTCTAAAAAATGAACAACTCTTTCAAGGGAGCAACCTTTGTGGAAGAGGGGTGACAGGGCTGGCCACACATTATACCAACACGGATTTCCACGTGTTTGTGGTAGGTTTCTTATGGTGAATGTTAACAAAGAATCTTTAGCTAGTCCCAAAATCATACCCTGTGCTTAGCGGTAGGCCTATAAGTAGCTCCAATGACTCCATCACTAAAGTTAAAGATGGATCTTCACACTTTGCTGAGTGTTGGATCTTGATGTAGTTAGTACATACTAATTTGATGTGTGGTATCTTAAATAAGTACTTCTGGGCCTAGAATAAGCTAGAGTAATAACAACTCAATGTCAAGTGTTATGTAAATGAAAACGTGGGCTAAACTGCTTATAAAAGCACACTTGTGTATAGCTGCACATTAAAGAGGCTAGTAACAAATAGGGCATGTGTTTGAGTGTTTGGAAAAAATCTGACCCCTAACTCCTTCTAAAATATCAGAAAACATCTAACTGCATTTGACAGAAGCTCATCCTCTCAAAAGGAGAGGATGAACTGATAGATAAACAACTTGCACTGATGCTTAACAAAACAAAAACCTTGCCACTAAAAGCTGTGCAACCAAAATCTGGTGCTAAAAATGCTTGCTATGATTATTACCACAATAGAACACAATTCTTAGAATTAGTTCCTTGAAACAGTTATTCATGAGAATAGTGATGTCTGAATTAAGAGAATATTGATCATTAATTTTAGTTATAAAAATCTGCCAGCCATAGCAAACAGCAAGCTTAGTGCATTGCCCTAAAAGAGACAGTTCATTTAAATTGGCAAGGTCAAAGAGAGCCCACATAAAATGCAAACAATGTTTTGTTCAAGCCAAGATAATTTTGACCATTTCTAGACGATTTAGTACTTTTTAGATAGACATCACACTCCAATGTCACTAGGATCTTTTTAGCACTGATTTTATCTAGCAGCAAGCAAGGGAGAGCCTTCTGAAGGAACATTATAACCAGCTTTTAACCAACTGACTTTCAAATCTTACTTTCCTTTAAATTCTGCCTAGGTTTCTTTGCTGATTCCATGCTTAAATTCTTGTGTCAACACCTCAAATTCCTACATCCTTTCATTGTTTTCGGTCCTACAAAAACAAGACAATGTTACAGTGCTATTTAAGGATCTAGCTGGTAGGAAAGACTGCTAAACTCTATACTAACGTATTTCACTGCTCCCTAGTGTAAGAAAAACTGATGAATGAACCAAAGCACGTAAATAAAGACTCAGAAACAAAAATACTATTTCTGCATGGGTTGGTCTCAGAACTGCATCTGTCTCTTCTTCTCAACTTGAATCTTAACTGATATTCAGATTTCCTAATGTAGTCCTCAGGAATTATACATGCACAGATGCTATACATCCAAGGAGTCATATCAATTCCTTTAACTTCATCACTTACTTTGTGCCTTGAATTTCTGGTACTAATGAAGGAGTTCTGAAATAATAATTTAATATTCCCTTCAGAGACAGAACTGGTGTCTCAGAAGCTCTCTAGGAGAGAGTTTCTACCCATTGACACATTTTAAATAGGCCTTCAGACTCACGCCTCTCATCTATACGCATCCTCACCTCAGAAATATTGATGGACTTTTGTTTAAGATCAGAGGTACACATTAAAGGACTGTTTCAGTTCAAGTGATCCCCATTCCAGATGTCCTACTGAAACATGAACTGCACAGACTGTGTGCACAAAAGTAAGGGGAATGCCCTATGAAAACACTAAGATACATCACATCATGAGGCTAGCTTTCTTAGAAATGTGAAGGGTCTTCCTTAACTCAACAGTCTGAGTCTAAGAGCGGCTATCTTTCTAAGAGAAATGCACAAACCAGGAAATATAGACTTAATGCAAAAACAGACTATTATCCTTCTATCTTTTTCACTGTATTAGTCATACTGAATGACAACAAAAGTCATATTTAGCTTTAAAATCTGGAATTTGGCTAGGTATACCTCTTTCAACACTTCAGAACCTTCTACAAGGATCTGATGGACAAAAGGTTAAGAGAAAGATGTCGTATGCTCATCTACATATAAGCTAACAAGGCACACAAGAGTTAGAGTTCTAACCCTGGACTTATGCTACAATTTCATTATTTTACAGGAAAATGAATTCTTTGTACAGGAAGAATGCTTTAAAGCACCTCGATTCAGAATAAAATCAATGCCCTTTTAAAGACAATTCCTTTCTTACGAATGCCTTATTACTATCTTCCTGAATCAGGCTTATTTGGGCAGCATTTAAACAGAAAATTGGGAATATCAGCTTATTTGTGTGGTGTTAACACATTCACCCAGCTTCATATAAAAATTTTGCTGTATGACAGCAGAGGCATCCCTTCTGACTCTGTATGAGTAATGTGTATGAGAGCACAAGTGAATGAAGCAATGATTAGGAGAGAAGTAATGGAAAAGGCAATTGTGAATTAAATTTAAGAAACAGAGAAATATATTTTCATGAACATTTCCATCTCTGCTTCTGCCAGAAAAAAGAAACCTCTCTAACAATATGTGCATATCTTAGTTATACTATCAACAGGACAAACTTGCCTTTGCATAGTCTTTTTTTTTTGTTTGATTGACCAAGTCAAAATCCCAAATCTAACCCTGAGAGAAAAGTAAGCATTCTACCTCTTACAAGGTAAGATCTTTTAACTATTTTTCAGTTGGTCTGAACTTGAGCTTTCAATTTCCTGTCATGATAAATTGCAATATAAAAAAAAAAAGAGTGAGAAAGAGGAGTCGATCCTCTTTTCTTATCTTTTCAATAGCTTACTGTAGTGAGATTTCTATTATCTTCTCTGCAAGGCTTGGCATTATTAATAGTACTGAGGTAACATATTAAGCTACTCAAATCCCTTTCAGAACAAGTGACAGTTCTCCCCACATCCACAGTTATCATGCTAATGGGCAGCCTCTCCTTAACATCAGCACACGCAAATTTTCTCAACAGATCTTCACAAGCCTTTGAAGAGGTATCGTACTACAGAAAATTTGATCTTACTATTGATTGAGGACATAATCCAGAGTCTGTTAAGTGCTCGTGGATTAACCTGCATATTCAATTTGCCCCACTCTAAAGGAAACATGCTGTTGCAGAGGAATGTGCTTTGTAGAGCACAAACCTTCTTATTCTGGACACATTCTCTGAAGATGAGCTCCTACAAGAGAATCTTACAGCGTGCATGTTGGTTGGACAGTAAATATTTGCTTGCAAACCTGAGCAAAAAGCTGAAGAGAAGTTCTGCAGTGCTGCATCCACCTCCTCTATGCTGGGGAGAGCTATGAGCCGAGGAAGAAGAGCTTCAAGTGATTGGATGAAGAGCTGTGCGCTGTGCTGGTCTGCTTCCTGGTTTTTCAGCAACTTCAGAGAGAGAGCAGCAGTACGTAAGGACCTGGTACCTGGACAATCCCGTGGTGTCTGCTCCTCATCAGCCAGGGAGCAATTGTCAGAGCCTATGTCCGAAACATCTGATCGGCCAGAGTCCTTCTCTGCTGCCATGGAATACTGGTCACACGAATCAAACTCAGTTCTAGAAAGATCCTGGTCATCTACACTGAAGTTACTTTCACTGTACCTGGATCCATAAGACCGGGTCTTGCAATCAACTGATAAGAAGTTAGTTATATCTGGATAGACTATGGTGTGGCTTCTTTGAACAACGTCTGGCTGGTCGATGGCTTCTGACTCTGGTTCTCTATAATGAATCTCTTTGCTTTCATGTCCAGCTGGAGATGGCAGTGAGTTTTTTTGGCTTTCCAGATTATCCTCTGGAGTTGTCTGTCCCATATCTCCTTCCAAAGTGGTCTGACCAGTGTCTGTAGTAACACTAATGCTAATATCAGGACTTTTCTCATTTCCTGATTCCCAGGCAGGATTTTCTGAAGAAAGAATGCGCCTCTGCCACCTAAAGTCAGCATCATTGATCTCCATGGAGTCCCTGCTTGTCTCAGTTCCATCCTTCAATTCTTCCTGGCGCCGGAGGAGCAGATGGACCTGTTCCTCACTAAGACCCCTGCCATGGCTTAGCTCATCCAGTGCGCCAAGAAGGGCGAATACGCAGGACACTGAAGCATAACATGCTTCAATACCACCCTTGATGCACGCTTCTGTCATCCCATCCATGATACTACAATTAAAACAGAGTATATCTAAGTGATGCAGCATATGTAGCAAGTCTGTCATTATCATCCAACACTACCCTTCCAGAACTAGGAAAAACAGAAGTGAAATTGTCCTGTAATACTACTTCTGGAAAAGACAACTAGAATTACAACAAATAATTACATCTCCCATGTGGACATGGCCAATCTGAAAAGGGAGTGCCAACCAAGGAAATAGTTACTGTGCATTTTTACCAGCATGCACAATGCATTTTCCCTTAAAGACAAGCACTTACACTGAAAAACGAAACAAACAAACAATGCTCCCCTCTCCCAACTGAAGTTAAGTTACGTGTCCTGAAAATAATCAGCAAGATATGCTCTTTATGAGAATGAAGAATGCTTTGTGCTCAATCTGACAATGTTTCAATTCTGGATTACCTCCTTTGACTTCATCTTGGAAATGTACTTCCAAATAAGCACGATCAATTCATTGCAATGTTAGGACCCAAACCCAAGAATTTCCAGCTGTAAAACAATTTATATGGGTATTTTTGTAAACTCCTCAAGGCGGTTACTTTTACAAACAAGCCCAGACTTACTAAAAATCAGTAAAAGCTTTTACCCATCATATTGTTTCACAGCTTATTTCACTTGGGAGATACACTGGCTTGCTCATACATGGGTATGCTTCTGAAGGTGAAACTATTTAAGTGTTTTGTGCACACAGGTTTAAGAGAATAAAGGAGGAAACAAAGCATACAGCTTGAGAAGATCCAGATGGGACTTCCTTTTAGAAATAGACCTCTTCCTAGATTCTGACTCAGAAGAGCAGGGCCCTGCCAAATCACAAAGCCTCCGAGGACTGCCAAGTATCTGAAAGGAAAGGAAACATAAGTTGCTAGAGGGTAATTTAAGTGTTATTTAAATATAATAAATGAGTCATAGTTTGGTCAAATGCTAGAACCTGAAGCAGCTGTACTTAAATTCTCTCAGCAAACTAAAACAGCACACTAAAGTTCGATTTATTAAAGCTATCTTTCCTCTTTTTAACACGAGAAATGCTTATAAAGAAAAAAGACACACACAACATGCATCACATACAGGTTGTTCTCTAGTGCTTTACATTACTGACTGAATATGTTTTAACTGAACTGCAACCAAAACAATCTCAAACGCCTAAATATACAAGTATATTGTAGTATATTATACACTAAAGGGAGTTTTGCTCTTCAGTCGCCCAGTTGCAAAAAGGTAGTCATGCAAAAACACAGAGTGATTTCTTCTGTGAAGTGATTCAGGGAGAAAGTGTGTTAACGAGCAGAAAGAGGTAACAGAGAGATCCTGAAAGTAAAAATATTGAAGTAATATTTTCCTAAAATATCTTAAAAATGAAATGAAGATTGTCATCTTGCTATTATTTAAAATTATAGGAAGGTAAGTGCCAGAACAACTGGGCGTTCTGACAGCAACCCTGTGAATGGTTGTGTGGTGTTAGGAGGAATCTTCAGACAGCCTCTCTACACACAAGCTAGAACAAAAATCCACTAAAGAAACTATTGTTCAGACAAATTATGGAAGCTGCTTTGCAGTCCACAATATGAGAAGAATGCAGCTGATGTAAATGTGCTGTTCAAAGAAGTCTCACAAGAACTGTCACGGGTACAGGGTGACAGGCCATAAAGGACTGGCCTTGACAGACACTTGTGACACTGGCAGCTTCCTTTTGGCTACTCTAATACAGCTCAAGGAAACCATATTTCAAAAATCTGGCACATTACCAAAGCATACATTCGCCTTAATGTCAGGAACACTGCAGTGTGAGGATGAATGTCTTCTAACAAGAGCAGAGAGTGGGGAAAGATGCCAAAGGAGCTGAGAACAGAATCACTACACTGCATCTCATCCAAAAGAGCAGTCATGACTCAGTGATAAGACCCACTCCAAGCGTGAACACAGAGTTGCCATAGCAGCTTGTATTATGGAGACAAATACATCTATTACAATTTTGTAAAACTAAAAATATTTATCAGAGTAGCTTTGATGTAAAAATTATACCCAGAAAGGGGCAACTACAGCACCTCTAGTGCTAAAGTATGGAACGGACAAGTATGAATATCTCAGCAATATTTACTGATAAATTAACATTTTGCTTTATTTGCATGGTTTTGCATCTAGACTTTACATCTTACCTCCTTCATAATTTTGATGGCTTCTACTCGGTGCTGAGGTGGTGGGTAAAGCAATATCCGGTGATAGAGAGACTGCAGCACAGGCTTCATGGATTCCACTGTCCCCACCAGCCGAACCAGCTCTGCAGCAATATAGTATATGGTCCGTGCAACAGGCCCACTAAGGGCAGGTGCTGTGGATGAACAGCCTGAACCCCGGCCATGATCAGAGACCCCTGAGGAAGGTGAATCAGCTTCTAGACAGATGCTGCTGTGGGCAGAGGTGATAGTTTTGTCATGGATTGGATTTCCCAGAATTACTACTAGGGCTGGACACAGTTGCTTCCTGAGAAAAAGAGAAAAAGCAGCAGATGGTAAGCAGAAAAATCTCACAGAAACGGAATGAAAATAGCCTATAGCACATACTCTTGTTTTAATAATCAGTGAACAGCAGTGGTTAGATTGAATAACAAACTACACGAGGCTCTTCTAAACTCCCAGGCATCAGCATGCTAGCACATACACAAATACTTCTGGGGGTTTTATAAAGATGATACTGATTTTGCAAGTTCATATTACTGCACCATGCTGTGTCCTTCACAGAATAGCATACCTCCTTCTTTAATTAGCTACAACATACCTCAAGGTAGGCACACCAGGTTTCTGCTGACAAGTGTTTCTTCTGTCCAACTTGGGAACTTAAAAAAGCCTGACCAAATGGAAAACAATCTCTGCTAACTGCATGGCTTGATGTTCCATCACTCATGCTCTGAACATGCACGTATGTCACTAAGCATCCCCAGTTGTGAGCTTTTGAGAATGCAATTAACGTCCTCTACAGTAACTCCAAGTATGCAGTGTAAACTCTCACATGACAGTAAACACACCATCCTTCCTTAAACTGTCTTTTTGCAGAAAAGTTCAAATGATTCCACATCAGCCAATCCCTTCTCTTCCTCTTCGTCCTCCGCCTCAACATGATGGAATCAGAGTCAAAACCAACTCTGCTCTCTGTTCATTTAGCTGTTATGTCAGCCTTGCCTTCAGACACTTGCCATTTTACTCTAGCTTGCAATACCATAACTTACAAAACTTAAATGCTACATGAGAAAGCAATCCCAAACCCAATTTTCAACCATGTGCCTCAGAGGCTCAGCTGGCACCTTGTGCAAACACCCAGTGACAAGTAATGCTTCAGCATCAAAAGTAAACAGGTGCATACATCTTATTTCCCAAGCTTTTCACGCTGTCCAGAATTTTCAATGCCTCTCTTAAAAGTCTTTGCTAAAACTGTTCAGCCCCCCAAAGTCACAGTATAAAAATCATTTTTTAAAAACAGATATCAGATAATGATATTGGGTCTGCTTAATTCCATTTATTTAAAATGTAAACAGTTAGGGACATTTCAAAATGTATTAATTCACTGCCTCAGAGCAGGCACAAGTACAGGTAACAACAGCAACGTATTCCCCATGTTAATTCCATCAAAGTGTTTCTGTATCAAACTATGGAGAACACTGACAGATGAACAGAGCACTAAATCTTCTTTATCTTCTGAAGAACAAAGGCGATTATCAGTCTGGCTCACAACTTCACTAGACAGTTAATGGATTAGGGAATGCTTATGCTGCTAAAAACTGCAGACATCACCCTAACTATAAACCGTTTCATGTCTTCCTTGTGTTAATTTTATTCAGCTTAAGCATGTACCTGGAGGATACATACTACTTGGCAGCAAAGCAGGTTTAAAAAGTCCTGCCCCTTGTGGCTTGCCCTCACGATATACATGCACAAACACAAATCTCTGTAGATGTGTAAACTGGATCATCAAAATAATATAAACTTAAATAAAACAGGAAGTGTTTTCTTTTAACTGTGATCATTTCAGTGACCTTGCTTACGGGATGACCCCAAAAACAGACACAGGAGCATAAAGAGCTGTTTGAAATACAGGGGAAGAAACTTCCAAAATGCCATGAAAGAGAGAACGATGATTTTACGCTGAAGCTCCCAGAGGCTTCAGTACAGAGTCTGCATGCAATGCTGCCAAGTGTTATCAGCCTGGAGGACCTTCCTTTCTTGCAGTCACTGAGCACCACGTTATGCAATTTTTTTCTGGGACAGCAAAAGAAGCTCTGAGTTCTCCTGCACACTGCAACTTTAGAACTGGGCCAGAATTATACAATTCAACTTCAAAATCACAGGGTAAAAGTTGAGCATGAGGTCCTGGGAAATCCTGTATGAAGTACAAAACAAACCGGCAGAGGGTTAATAGAGAGCTCTGCTCTTACCTGATGACTTCCTGCAGGCTTGTTTGCATGGGTGGTGGTGGGGAAAGGCCCTTCTACAGTTACTTATAAATTGACTATTTGCATTAGTCTTCAGATCTACTCACCATATTAGATCAGTGAATCCTTTGTGCTGGTGCATGCTTGGAGAGGAGCTGTTTAACATGGAAAGGATACACTCCAAATAAAGAAGCTGAAGTTGTCGATTGTCACTGGCAAAAAGAAAAGATGCCAATCATGTCACATTGAAACAAAGATTATTTACTTATTTTCAAGTAACTACATTAGTTTGCTTGAAAACCATATCACAATTTACAGCAGTGACTTATTTTGCTACTTCCTATGGATTTACAGTGGTATGATTACTTTTATCACCCCATTTAATTTGTACAGCTCACGTGCAGCAATCTATTACAACTTCTTGTAGGTAATGTAAGGAAAATAGATTTAATTCATCAAATTTCACAGTAAGGAATAAGAAATTGATGCAAAAGATGACAAGAAGGAAAATAGCAATAATTTTTCAAATTTAATCTGAAAACTTGAAGTTGAAGAAACTCTTAAAAAGAGGAAAAAGGAACGACCAGAAGATGTTGAAATTATCAACAATTTTTCGGGCAATCTGAAGGGCATTTAGACTACTTTCTTCTGGTTACCTTTACTGTTTCCTTGATGAAAACTGCAACAGCCGCAAGTCAATGTCTATATGCAAAAACTTACATGATCACACAGCCCCCTTTCAGAGCCTTGTCAGTTATACTCTATAAATCAAACACAAAGTGAGCTTAAAGAGGAAGAATGTGAAAGATCCTGTAGTCACTTGGTATCCATGTGCTTGTAATGTACAATGTACTTGTACCTATTCTCAGAATTAGCTGTAGGATTCAGCAGACAAGAGAATTGAGTCTGCCAAGAGAAGGTAGCTTCCCACAACACTCGCATTCTGGTTTACATTTCATAAACTAAATGCTTTTTGCTGTGCTTTTTTGGCCCAAAATGAGAACTGGAGGAATGTATCTCGTGATGTGTGAGGGCAGCTCTGAAAGTAATGCCTCCTATTTTATTACACTGGCTACGACATCAGAGGTGAATGTTGGTGGCATGGCAGCAGAGGTGTAAACTTCCCAGCAACATTCCATTCCATTATTTTTTTTTTCTGCGTGACAGACTGTAGCAATCTGGCGAAATGGCATCGGAAGCAAAGGTTGGCATTGCATTTCTCTGTGTGGCAAAAATGGCACCCACTAACATTCATTAATACTTGCTGAATGTTTTTGGAGAACAGTGGAGGTAGTGGGTAGTGCATTTCAGCAGTGGCAACAGCAAGTTATAAGACAAGCCACATTCCAGACAGCCATGCACTGCTGTCACACCACAAAATGAAGAGCACCTTAATCAGCTCATCCAAATGAACTGGCAGATTATGATCAGGGAACTATGTACAGAGCTGAATATCAGCTTCATTGTATTGGAAACGATTGGCAACATTGGAACTTCTAAAGGTTTGCACCAAGTGGGTTCTACAAATGCTCAAACAGGAATAGAAAGAACACAACATGTGAGTTTATCAGGACCTACTGAACCAGTGTGAGATAGAAGGTGACAGTTTCCTGGATCACATCATTACTGGTGACGAGATGTGATGTTACCACTATGAGACAGAGTCAAAAGGGCTGTCCATGGAGTGGCAGTGTAAATTCCCCATGGAAGAGAAAATACAAGATGCAGCCTTCAGCAGGTAAAGGTAATGCGAACTGTCTTTTGGAAAAGCAAAGGGGTGATCCTTCTGTATTCCCAGAACCTGGACAAACAACCAATTGACCATTATATCAAGATGCTGATCAAGCTGATGAAGGCTTGAATTTCCAGAGTCAGGCCAGAGAAGAAGACAGCCTTTCTCTTGCAACACGATAATGCTAGGTCCCATACCTGTTTGAAAACTGTGGACTGCTAATTCTATCACACCTACTGTATAGCCCAGACTTAGCACCCTCTGACTTCCATCCACTCAAGTTGATGAAAGATGGACTGTGTGGGCAACAATGTTCCTAGCAACAATGCCATCACAGCAGCTGTGAAACAGTGAGTCACCTCTGCTGGTGCAGATTTTTAGAAGCACAGCATATATGCTCTTGTCCATCACTGGCAAAAATGCATAGCTAATGGCAGTGACCATGCTGAAAAAGTTTTTTGTAGCTAAGGATTTTCTCTGTCAAATAGTGTTATTGTGCTCTTTGTGCATCTGTTGCAGTTTCCATGGAAATAAATAGAAGGCATTATTTTCAGAGCAATTTATGCATGACAGTACGTAAAGAAATCTGTGAAGAATGTATGTATTTTAAATGAAATAAAATTTTCTGTTACTGTCTGTCTCAATGTATTTTGTTCACCTAGATATTACAATTTCTACTACATTTCACCATGTGCGCTGTAATTGTTCTCTTTACAATGATTGCTTTCATGACATTCAGCAAGCCAAAAAAAGAAAACTTGTCCTTTGACAAGCTCTTCACTACTGCATGGAAGTTATCTACAGATTAGATTTGTTGGAAGCTCTTTAAAGCTAAACAGCGCTGAACTGTGAAATGAGCTTCTCATCTCAAGTGAGAATTAAATTAATGCGTTATGAACAATACCTCTTATCACAAACAATTTAATCACAGTTTTATTCCATAATCTCAGAACTATGACAATACGATCACATGTATCAGTGAAACTCCCAATCTCCAGGTAACAAGTTCAAATTATAAACTGAAATAACTCACTTTATGACAGCCTGGAGCTTCTCACAGAGCACAGTGAGGACAGATACAACATCATCACAAAGAGACTCAGCTGAAGTACCTCCAAAAAGGACAAAGATCAGAGGCATTACATATTTGCAGTGGGATTACAACCTCATATCACCACATGGACTTTCAGAGTTGGTCAAAGCATATAAACAATAGGCAAGGCAGCCAAAATTCAGACAGGACACAGAAGAAAAAGTCCTAGATTGGAAACTGATCTCCATACGCTGACTAAGCAGAAGCATTAAATCCAGAGAGAGCATTGATGCTTATGTGCATTTAGAAAAGGTTAGCTGAAATTCAATTCAGGTAATAGAATAAGCAAATAATAACAATAAAAAAGAGACTAGCTCCAGTACTTCTCTGGGGAGCTAAACATCTCTGCAGCTCTCCGTACAGTTTCTCTCTCATCCACAGAGATCTTAAAAGGGGATTGTTGTTCACTTTCAATATTTTAGCCTCCATCCACACAAGTTCTCCTGCAGAAATCCAGTAAGAAAATTCAAAAGCAGGGAATATTTTGAACTCTCAGGGAAGATGGTGGGTGGTAAGCCAGAATGAGAGCAGAAAAACTCTCTTGTAAGGTTATAATTTGGCAAGTGTGAACTTTGATAGTAATGTGCTTTCAAAAGCTGCCATTATACAAATGCTATCCCTGGACCACAATACAGTAAACATTTTTATTTCCAGATTCTACCATCCTGCTCTGTGAGTCTGCTTCAATTTGGGAATCCACTTATTAACTCTTTCTCCAGAGCACCGAAACACCTTAATTACAGAAGTTAGCACTGTGAAACAACCATTTATAACTATGTGGAGAGCGATACTGTTAACAAGGCTCAAATGAAGATACTACTGTCAATATCAGGAGCTAACAGGGCTGTTTCAGTTCTTACCACAAGTAACACAAACAGTAACAAGCTATGAAGAAGGTAAAAGGTCCTGAAGATGGAATTTCTGTGATTCCAACAGCCATGTGCTTATGAATAGAAAGTGAAGAATTAATAAGCTGGATTGGAAGGAGTCACTAAAAAAGTTGTACAGATACCTTGACTTTTGAATTTCTGCAGGGCCTCATTATTTTCAATTGTCTGTTGAGATAAGACAGATGTGGTATAATCAGTGCATGTAGCAGATAAGCCAATGTACAAACAATGCTTTAACAGCAGGGCTTTCTTAACAAATCCATGTCCTCTATTTTTTTTTTGTTGTTTAAGTGAAGCTTAATACCTTAAGAAATGTTTAAACAATCACTTAGATTTAAGAAATTCATATCTCATTTAGCTGAACTGGGATTTGTAAATTCTTAAGGGATTTCCCACATCTACAAAAACACAATAATAACTAGGCATGTAGGTCTCAATAAAAATAACTGAGAAAAAAGCACAGTTTAGACTTCACAAAATACTTAGAAACCCAAATCCTCTGAGTATTGGAGAGTTTATCACACCATCATCATTAATACTGCAGTGCCAATACACAAATTAATGACAGTCAGGAATTGGAAATGACCTCTTACATCATTTGGCTCAGCTGCAGTATAGGATTCCTCTTACCAATGCAGTTCTTCACCTACTCTGCATTTAGAGCAGAACTAACAAAACTCAAATTTCAAATCCAAATTCAACCTCTAAAACAATAATTTTCCTTTTTTTTTTTTTTTTTTTTCCCCTCTAAGTATTATGGCTAGTAAAATGAACCTACTTAGCACACAGAGAAGATAACTGAGTAAACCTATGAATTCAGTCCTGCAGGTACTTACTAGGACAAAAATAATCTAGTCCAGCAGTCCAAAACAGAAGTGGTCACCTTAACTCAAAACAGGCACAGGGAAAATAATCTGCACAAATACAGACCTCAAAGTTTTCTAATAAACAGTTATTGACCTTTACAAATAGTACCTCTTTCTTTATATATAAGCACACATAAACGGATGTAAGAAGCCAATGACATTTCATATATGCCCAGAACATTTACAGTTTTGCTGACAGTGTGTTGGGATTTCACTCAAGCAGCTCTCATGGATTTTAATAATGCAATAAACAGAAGAAATATTTTTGCTAACAACCAAGCAGACAAAGGATTCTATTAAATTACCTTCATTATAAAAGAGTAGTAATAAAAAACTCAATTACAGTTTCAACAGCTGAGAATTTGTTCGGTTGATGTAAATATCTGTAACGTAGGATATTTTGGTGAAAGGATTTCCACAAATCTCAGGTAAACAAGCAAACAAAATAAAAAATACAAAAGGAAAAGGTCAAAGCAGTCTGATATCAGAACAAAGCCGCTTTTACTTAACAGAATGAGAACAAAATGCAGCCAAGTAGGGCTGCCAATGTGAGAGTTGCCTTCCTGATAGACTGCTCTAAGACAGGCACAGAGTCAGAGCCCAACAAAGCTTCCAAATGGGATTAGTTGTGGAAGGCTGAAACAAAATCCATAAGGGACAATAAGCCAGTACATTGCACTGCATTCAGAGAAACTAAACGGTACGCAGCTACAGATATGGAACCATTTGTTGATGCCAGAAGGCTCACCATATTTTCTTGCTTTTGTCGTAACTGTAAAGTCAAGTCACTCAACATTTGGCTGAGGGTTGCCCGCACAGCGGTGTTAATGCTCCGCTGGTGACAGCTAGATACATATGTCTCAATGCAAACCTGATGAGGAGACAAGATAGCAATACGTAGATATTAACTGTAACTTACCAGTAACACACTTCAAGAGGATACCAAGGTCTCTTGCATGCAGATAGTCAGCCTTCCTTGTTATTCCATATTGCTTTATTAGCACATGAAAAGCTTTCAGCAATATGAGTAACTGAGTAAACAGCACCAAGAAGTAATATGCAGCTCATTACTCAATAAGTCTCACAGCTGCAGGAATGGTAAGGCAAAATTGGCAAAAAATCTTCCCCTTCTGTTAAGTCCAACTGAGTTTGGCACTTGCTTTGCACTTAAAAAATATATATATCTTTAAATGTTCGTTAGATTGATCTTTTCTAGAGACTTTGGCTCTAGAATTGTCTGGACAATCACAGCTGCAGGATTGCGGTCCGCAGCTTTGGGCCTAAGTGGAGTCTGGCCATGAATGATGCCCCCCCAGGGGTTCATCTTCAGACCAGTGTTCTTCAACATCTTAATGACACAGACAGTGGGATTGAGTGTACCTTCAACAAGTTTGCAGATGACACCAAGCTGAGGGGTGCAGTTGATATGACAGAAGGAAGGGATGCCATCTAAAGGGACTTCAACAAGCTTGAAAAGTGCGCCCACATGAACCTAACAAGATTCAACAAGGCTAAAGTACAATAAGCTGCACCTCATCCAGGGCAATCCCTGTAATGAGTAAAGACTGAGAGAAGAACCCATTGGGTTTAGTCCTGCTGAGAAGGACTTGGGGATTCTGGTAAAAGAAAAGCTTGATGAGAGCCAGTCGTGCACATCTGCAGCCCAGAGGGCCAACTATTCTGACCTACATCAGAAGAGGAATGGAAAGCAGGGACAGGGAGGTGATTGTCCCCATCTGCTCTGTCCTCATGAGGCCCTACCTGGAATATTGTGTCCAGATCTGAGGCCCCCAGCACAAGACAGATGTAGAACATTATAGTTGGTCCAGAGAAGGGCCACAAAGATGATCATTGTTCTGGAGCACCTCTCCTATAAGGAAAGGTTGAGACAGGTGGGCTTGTTCAACCTGGAGAAGAGAAGGTCCTGGGGAGACATTTCAGTACTTAATTGGAGCTTGTAAAGAAAAGAGACTGACTTTTCACACAATCTGATAGAGATAGGACAAGGGGAATGTTTTAAACTAAAAGAGGGATATTAGATATTAGGAGGACATTCTTTACTCAGGATGGTGGTGAGGCACTGGAACAGGCTGACAGAGAAGTTGAGGATCCTCCATCCCTAGAGGCATTCAAGGCCAGCTTGGATGGGGCCCTGGGCAGCCTGATCACGTGGGTTGCAACTAGATGATATTTAAGGTCCCTTCCAACCCATACCATCCTATATTCTGTTATAGTGAAGCATATATGTATATACATATGCAGTTATTATTCAATATGGCACATACATTTACATCTGAAAGCCTCTAAATGACTTTTCTTACTGCAGAAGATACTATTGTGATATACCATAAATTACATAAATAGTTGCCTTTTAAATACTGGCAATCAGCCTAAAGTTTCCTTAGCTGGGAGAACCCCAGTGAGAAACCTACAATGAAAGAACATCAGTGTATCATCTAGTTCCCAGCTCCATGCTCAGCTGTTCGCAGTTTTTTGACACTGCATTGTGGCCAAAATTCTGCTGGATTCTTGTCTCAAGATATTACACAAATAGCTACCAAAGAATAAACAGCTGGGATCCAGGGGATAGGACATCACAAATGGCAGTCTCTCAGTTCTTATTGCCCTTTCTCAAGATTCCCCTCCCAAAACAAAGGGTTTTATTGATCTTGAGATCAATTTGCATGTGAAGGTGATTTTGTAAGTTAAAAGAAAGGACCAACTATTCCCATCATTCAGTTACCACCCAAACTCCAGTGAACAAAGAATCCTAAAGTCTATTAACCACAAAGAGTCAGAGAGGCCATACCATTCCAAATGCTGCTGAGCTGCTGGACACAGAGGAACAATTGTTCTCCGTCTCTTTTTCTAGAGTTCCTGAATTAATTGATGGAATGCCATTCTCAGAGGTAGGCTGACTTTCTGTTAAGAGCATGGTTGATATCATCTTTTTCTCCCCCCTCCCCATGCCTGCTAAAGAGCATCAGTACTGTCCATGTGAGCTCTGATCATATGGAAGGTGTGTGTTCTAAAATGGCTGGGCAAGGTACCTTTTGAAAAGCCACTGATGAAGGATTGCCAGTAAAAATTCGAGAGCTCAGGGCCCCAAGGAGGTATGCAATGGACATTTTGATCATTTCATGCATTCGGGGACTTCCAGCTCTATTGCATGCAAAACACAACTAAGAGCAAAACACAGAAGGGTTAGCTAATGAAACAAGAGAATCAAACAAAACAAACTTTCAAAATGTAGATGGCAGTAACAAATACACTCATGACAAACAACAAAGCACAAATTACACTTTCTTGTAATGGTCCAGGCAAGCATGAGAAGTTGCACACAGCAAGATTTAAACTGTTTTCATAACCAGTAATTCTGAAACCATAAAATGTAGTACTCTTCTTGTTGGATGCTTCATTAATTTTAGGCTGAAAATATTCAGTAAGATTCATGGCGCTATTGATTTGTACATATTAATTGAGAATGACTAGACAATGCAAAACAACCAGGTGGTAGCCTGTTTGTCACAATGAATCCCCAGATAGAGAACCACTAGTAACACAGGCAGCATCTTTCCAATCCTGTAGTAGCTCCTGCTTTGCTACAGAGGGCAGGCTAGGAAAAGTAAGGGACCTGAAAAGAAATGCCAAGTAGCAGGCATAGTGAAGTGCATAGTTCCTCTCTGCCATCTTTCCATTGGAGCAAGTCAGAACAATAAATGCTGGGGCTAAGCAAATGCTGAACTCAGAAATCATTATCTACTGCTTATACACCTTAGAATTCAGGTACAAAGAAATACTGAGTCCAACTGATAAAGTCTTTGCCTTACCTAAAACCTGGCTGAACAGAACCTGAGGAAGCATGCATGTGCTTGAAGGAATTTGCTAATTAGAAAGAGGTAAGTATTCAGTGAAACAATATTTTCTCAGGGATTGTAGGGAAAATACCTGTACCTCCAAACATACCAAAGAAAAATATTTGTGTTCTCTATTATGGTTCATTCTAATTCCCTAGAGGATGCAAAAATTTTGTTTGTTTTGATGGCGGTTCTTATCAGCACTCATCATGGATCTGACCCATTTTAAAAGAAAAAGAAAACTGTCATTGTTGTAACTCATACCACTATCCTAGCAAGGATTTTTAAGAGCTGGGATGGACTTTTGGCAAGTATCTAATAACAGCAGTGTTCAACTTCAGTATACGAAAAAATATTTTCAGGATGTTTTAAATGAACAGCAGGTCTATTGTTGTCCAGATTTACAGAGAGAACAAAAAATATGATTTCTGATACAGTTCATAGCACACAGATCATGACTGATTGACCATTTTCCTCTAGTCTAGTGCTGAAATCAGAAGGGTTTCAGAGCCATTAAATGCTTTTCCCAGCATGTATTTTGTCTGAGTCAGAGCTCTTTACTTGCAGCAGAGGTGGACTAAGCTGAATTAATCATTTCATGCCCAGCATGTTGGAAAGTTTGCTGAGAAAAACTGCAGCAAGGAAACAATCTGTTTTCTTCTGTTTGGGATGTTAACTGAGGGAGGGTTCAGTAAAACTTAAAACACTTTGAATAGCTCTAAATGCCAGTTCAGCTCAATCTTGATGCAACCTTGACAGGTGGGCTTACAAAGACTTCCAAAAACAGTCACACTTCATGGAAATGGAAACCTCACATAGCAAAAAGAAACCAAGGGATGAGTTGGGCAGAACATCCATTTAAACAAAAACAACTTTCCCCACAAATGGTAAAAACTGAGAAGGAACTCATCTCTAAGGCTTTACATGCACAAATTTCACTGAGAGTCTAGCAAGGAACATTTAAAAAACCCTCTTGCCATGGTAGGGGCAGAAATATGGCAATATTAAGAACTAATAAGTCTTTATTTTCAAAAAGAACAGCTAGCATATACATTGGGAGGAAATAGATGGTATGTAAAAACTGCAAGGACATGTACGTCATCCTTATATTGCTTCATGGGCATTAGCTCTCCCCTACATTAACCGTATAATTTCAGAAAATATTCTGTACATAACTGTGTGTGCTGTGCTGGAGAATGAAGTATTTCTGTGTCCCTTCTCTAACTTGAGTCTACAGTCTAGTGGTTTGCTACACAATTCATATGGAAATGCTTGCTTAGTAGAACTGCCTATATGTTTTTCTACAGCCCAAGCTCCTCTACAACTTAAGACTTTCAGACTAAAATCTGATCAGAAAAAAGGGGAGACGTGTCTAGTAGCACCTAGATAACTCCACATATCCAGTGGCATAATAAATCCTTTACTTGGAAGTATTAGGAAAAATAAACACAAAACTAACAGGGCATATTGTGGCACTTCTGCTGGGAAGGCATGTTACAATCTACACATCACTCTTTATTGAAACTCAGTAGTATTAGGATTGCACCAGAATTAGCACAATACTATATTATTAAGAACACAAGATGTTTTCCTATTGCAAAATGCAAAGCAAAATAAATATGAGGACTTGTATGCTATAGCATTGCAAGTTCATTATCATCAGTCAATTTCAAAAAGTGTGCCTTCTCATGCAAGCCCACCAGCTCTGTACAATTTGCAGTTATATTTTCATACTAGACATGTAATAGCCCTTAAGATGGCAGCTATGATTTGCACTATGTCAGATTCAGGCAGGATACACAAAGAAGACACAGTCTAGCTGGAGGGGAAACATTAAATGGCTCCAACAGTGGTACAACTGAGGCACTTACCTCAGCAATCTTCAACACTGAGCTCCCATTCAGCTCAAATGTGGAGGTATATGTTATGCAGAGCAAGACCTTGAATCAAAAGAGAGGGAAGAGAGAAAGAAAATTTAAATCTCATCTGTAATCGCTTCTCTTCCCCATTCATGCATTTTCAGCTACCTCTCTTTTCATTTTTAGAGTAGATATCAGAAGCTTCTTAGCACCATGATACTGGAATAAAGGGGTTGGTAATATCAAGGAGCTTAGTTGCTTCCTCCTGAAAAGTTGCAACTATTGGCACCAGAGGTGTAGCCTAATGGACTGTTTATCAGTTCTCCCACATCTGACCAAGGAATCTGTGATCAATCCCAGCCTTGAAAACCAGTTGATAGCCAAAATCCATTTATACTTCACCCACAAGCTTTCCACGATTTATAATCAGTCCATTCATTTATTACTGTTAATGTGACAAATGAGGGAGGAAAAAATGTATAATATGCAAATTATTATCAGATGACACAGACACACGTATTATGTGAAACAAGCCATTAATTGCCACTTGGCATGGAAAGGACTTCCAAGCCTTAGGATATTTCCAGTTGGTATACTGTAGTCACTTGATAATGCGCAAAAAAAAGTAATTCTCAGACTCCAGTTCACAAGGGAATAGGAATGAAAAGTCCTGCATCTTACTTTGAAGGGAAGGGGAGTAAAAATGTGATGCGATCCACTACAGGATAGGGTTGTACAATGTTTTCACCATCTGGCAATGTCCTTCCCTCCACCTTCCTCTATCCCTCATCTCCCTTTCCAATCCCTCCAGCACTATGGAAGGCTGATAGAGTCTGATCTACTGTCCTCTTTCCTTCCAAATTTAAGATTTCCCCAGTGTCAGAAGTTATGCTTTGCTTGGCCTGAAACAGCCTGAGTTTCTTAGGATAAGCATACCAGAAAAACATCAATCACACTAACAGCAATACGTTGGTCCCTAGAACTTCCTCAGCCCTAGGTACTACTGTTCTCTGTTTCAAAAGGAAACTTAGGACATCAGACAAGTTAGCATTACTGACTATTAATCGTTTCTCTCATCTATTATACGCTTCTCAGTGGAACTAGGTTTTCTTTTCTTAGGTTTGGTTCCTCGACAGCTACTGACACAATATCCTAGGGTAATCTCCTTAGCCTAGAATGCAAAACAAACTTCACCACAGTACATCTGATCAGATCTGATGAATTGAACAAACCAAAAAAAGGAAGCAAAGTAGCATATTTGGGAAGATTATTGCCTCCAGGTCCTTGCAGAGCATCATTTTTCTGACTTCACCGTGTTGCCCTTTCCACAGTAAGTTGGAACAATAGAAAATTACTGTAACAGTTTGAAGGAGCAAGCTGGATCACCTCTCATTTGCAAGTCGTATCACCTCTGTAGATCATCATGATCTCTACAACCATCTCAAAGTCTTCAAAAAGAACAACAAAAGAACCACAGACAACTCTAGTACTGCTTAAGCAGGCTGAAGGCCCTGAACCCTCATCAGTACTACTTAATCTCTGGGAGAGTTTTCCTCTGCGCAGTTATTTTGCACCATAGGAGAAAAATCCGTTACTAGGAAACAAGCATTTAATAATTTTAGGGTAATTTGAACACTACATACAAGAGAAGCTCTGAGCATTACCCGTTTGCTCTTACACGTACAGACAAAGTGCCTGCCCATAGATGAGTGCATCATTTTTCTGTAAAACATAAATAACCTCCTTCACATTTTGACAGTCAGTATGAACAGCTTCTACCCAATGAAATACATGGTATCTTTACTTTTCTTTTTTTAATTCTTCACTTTTTCCAGCAGAAGAACTGTATTTCACTACAGGTTATCACACCTTATCCACAATTTATTTGATTGCATTTTTATAATATAAAGAAAATACCAGCCAGGGCCTTGTTCCTATTCTTAGGAGAGATGATTATACAACCAGAAGTGTTCCAAGAACACCATTATGTAACAGCAGCTTTATATAGTTTATATATGGTATCTAGCCCTGATTCACACTCAGTTCTTTGTAAGTAGATGCTGACAGATTGGGACAAACGCTAGAGGTAATGAGAAATGAAAAGGACAAGCTACTCTTGTGAAGTACAACGTTTGTGTCCTATCATCATTTTTTTACATACTTAGCATTTAGCTTTAAATATAAACAGTTTCTAAGCCAACTTCCTTCACAGTTTCCAAAATCACAGAAACATACAAAGTTATCTGCCAGACTCTTTGCATATTCTTGGCTTACTTCACTTGTTCCCATCTTCCCTTACAAATTGTTTCTAAGATCTGGAAGACGGTCTCTGACCATGCACAAGACTGCCCTCAGCTATGATTGCCATCAGCACTGCTGCAAAGCTCATTTACAGTCCTGGCAACGTTCCAGGCACTTAACTCATGTTTTCCCATTTCAATGGAACAGGATGACAGCAGTTTTTTCTGAGATTACTGGATGAAAGATAGTATTAAACAAACAAACAGCCCTTAATCATTCAGATGCACTACAGACACTGCTTCTCCAGACAGTATATCCCTGTGGTGGGTTTACCTTGGCTGGCCCCCAGGTGCCTACCGTGCTGCTCTCATTCTCCTTCCTCATCACGATGGAAAGAATATGTAATGAAAAACTCATGGCCAGGATAAAGACAGGGAGTTTGCTCACCAATTACAGTCAAGTAATTTAATTGATTACAAATTAGTAACAGAGTAGGATAGTGGAAAAATAAGAAAACAACACAAAATTCAAACTACTTTCTCTCCTTTCCTTCCAGACTCAACTCCCCCAAGCAGTTCAGGGGACCAAGGAATGGAGGCTGCCGTCAGCCCATAATGCTTTATCTCTACAGCTCCATCATGGTCACCCTCTGCCTCTGCTCCAAGTGGGGTCCTTCCCATAGGATGTTGTCCTTCTTGAACCAATCCTGTGTGGGTTTCCCACAGTCTGCAGCTCTCCATGCACCGCTCCAACACAGCTCCGTACTACGGGGCCCACCCTTCAGGCACTGTTCCAGCACGAATCCCCAAGGGCAGAGCTCCCTCAGCCCTTCCCCACCATGGCTCTGTTCCACAGCCTGCAGCTCGGGCCCAGGCTGCTCCTGCGGGGCTCTCCCTGGGCTATATCTCCTTCAGGACACATCCACTGCTGCACTGCAGACTCCTCCATGGCTGCATGGGGAGATCTCCACACGGTGCCTGTGGGCTGCAGAGGGACAGCCTGCTTCTCCATGGGCCTTTCCTGGGCTGCAAGGAGCTTCTGCTCCACTCCTGGAGCACCTTCTACCCTCCTCTGTGCTGACCTTGGGGGCTGCAGGGCCATTTCCTCACATCTTCTCATTCTTCCCTTTCACAGTTGCTGTGCAGCATTTTTTGCCCTTTCTATAAATATGTTATCAATGAGGCACAACCAGCATTACCCACTAGCTCAGCTCAGGGCAGCAGCTGGCTTGTTTTAGAACTGGCTCCTATGTGACATGGGGCTATCGGGTCCTTCACACAGAGACCACCACTGCATTACCCAACTACCAATGCAAATCCAATGCAATCCCAGAGGCTGCTTAACTGCTCACGATACTAATTCAAGCCGTCTATATTTAAAAAGTTAAGAAAAGAGACTTTCTTATGCAGTGACATTTTGTTTTCACAACCACTTGTACTGGAGAGGAAGAAAATATATATATTATGAAGTGTTTCCTAGTACCACTTTCACTATAAAACAAAGTTGAAAATCAGCTTCTGCTTTGCATTACTGTGGTGAAATCTTAATTGGTGTGGACTTTAAAACAACCTTTTGTTTTTAGAGGAGCTTAGATAACTGTAGAGATAGTTTCAAAATCACACAACCTCTAGGATGTTATAACTGGCTTGTACTATCTTGCAAATGCCTGGATGAGATCAGATTTCCGTAAATGGCCTACCCATAATGAAAACATTAATTTTAATTACTGTTGAAGCTCTGCCTGTCATAGAACAAGAAATATGATTCCCACTCCCTGGAGTCCCAGGATACCAATGTGTATAAGATTGCACACACAGGCAGTTTTCACAATAGGTAAGAATGAAGAAAAAGTGCTTCTAATGGTACACTGAAAGTCAGTAGACTACAAAACGACTTACAGTATTCGAACTGAGATGGAATTTAACTTATGTTACAATGTCTATTTTAAGGAGATCTCTTACAGAGGGAACATTTTAGGTTATAAGAGTGCTAAGTGCTACCAGCCAAGTTCCCCAAGTGCTTAGTACATATTTGTAGTGAAAGGCAACTGTAACACTGAAGAGCCTATGGTGGAATCCTATGAACTCAATATGGTGTGAAAGCAAGCAAGCAATACTCCAAAGACAGTGAAGGAAGGCAAAGGTACAAATCTTAAAAATAATGGTAATCTACGATGACAAAAGGATGCTTCATCAATTCACTGCATTTAAGTGAGCAACTCCAATACTGACACCAGTGACACCATTTTACTCTTCCAGCAAAGTCCCATTTGAACATCTGTGTTTCTTATATCTGGGATGCATGCAGTCACTTTAGACCTGAAGAGCAGCCATTTCTAATCTCCTTATGGGATTCGTAAAATAAGTCTTTCCTGACTTATTTTACATATAGTCTAGTAAAATACTATGCATTATATGCTTGAATGATTCGCAAAACTTTCTCCCCTAAAGAGTAAAAAAAAAAGCCAGAAAACAAAGTAGGACTACTTGTCTTGTTTAATAATTTGACATTTAAAACAGTATTTCTGCAAAATAGAACAGCAGATGTCTTCGTATTTGGCACAATAACTACTTACCTGGCCATGTTACATTCTTTCACTCTGAAGGAAAACAAGGGCTGAAGAAATGAAGTGCATTAATGAACTTGTGCACACAGTGTCATCATGTATCACCATGCAAAACACAGTGAGTTTTTAATTATGAAGAGAAAGGAGGCAGTGTCTTCCATGAATCAGTAAACCCATGAAAGGCCTTGCTATCACCAGCAACTGGTGCTCAGCATTAGGGCTTCAAACAAAAGGGTTGTATCTGCAATAGAAGAACCTCACAAATTATCAGTGG